AAAATTATTGCATATTTGTAATAGACTTTCGACAAAACTTGTTTACATAAAGAAAACCAGCTTTTACTAAATATAGAATTATAATATGAGAAAGGGATGTGATAGTCATATGCTTTCACTATAATTTATTGGATTTATTCTCCTTTTATAAGGTGTGGAATTTTTAAGTTTTATTATAATTTACGTTGTTGAATACTAATGTACTTTTAAAATTAGATAGCTGTAAAACTTTAATACACGTACAATTTTTTTCAGTTCTTCAATGGTGATCCAAGTTTGGACTAGGAGAAATTAAATAAAATAGATGGAAATTTGAAACAGAGTAAAAATAATTAAGCTTTGATTTAATTTTAATATGTAGGATTCAGTTTTTCACGCTATAAAAATTATGTGAGACATTAATACAAATTAAATCTTCCAGAAATCTGAACGATCTGTTTTTTGGGGAGGGTTGATCTACCCCATACCACTAGAAAAATGAATGTTTTTATCCTAAAAATCATACTTTTTAAAAGAGAAAGCTTATTTAATGAAGAAGTTTTTCTTCAATTAGCCAAACTCTTGCTGGTTTCTTCACAGGGTAGAGAATTTGTGAAATTCATCAAGTATCATCCGACGCTTAAGTTTTACGGGTTTGTGCCAGCTAAACGGCTGTAAGTTGAAACGAAAGGGCCAGTTGTTGATGCATTCTTTATATAATTTAATGCGGAATTGAAAAACTACCTGGATTTTTTTTTAAATACAGTCAATGGAGAAAATCTGGTTTTGTGTGGCAAGTCCGTTTTTTTCCAGAAAAAAAAAACTAAAAAATCGTACCTTCTCGAGGAGCGAATGTGAAAACCAGTTTTTCCGGCATTTTACTCTTTTTCCAGTTTACTAACACACAATTGATTTTTTTTCTGTTTTTACATTTCCTAGAGAACCACGGTATATTATTTATTTATATATTTCATTTTTTTAAATAATGCAAATGTTTAATCTTCCTTGTTTTGTTTCAAAATTGTGAAAACAAACTCACAAGTGTTCTTATTGTTATGATTGTATGCTGTGTATTAATTTTTAAAAAATAAACGCAATTATTCACACAAATATTAAAGTCAATTTTGGTTGAAACACTACTTATTTTTAATTTTGGTACATAGTATTTGAAACCAAATACTGTGTTTATTTTATGTTTTGTTTAAAAAATTAATATAATTCAGTGTCACCTTTTAAAAATTTTTTGTTTAAAATATTGTTTAATTTTAATTCATTAGTTAGTCAAATTAATTCATTGAGCACTTGAGCAATATTTAAAATGAATTATTCTGATTTCTTTTGTCTGCTTTTACACTCTCGAACACTCTGGTTGGACATTCCGCCATGTTCAGTAGAGAATTTGTTTCGTTTTGTATATTTTTTAAAGGTTGTAAAATTTTCTTACACCAACTACTGAAGATGATATAATGGCAATATAGTTGTATAGCTTATATAGCTATTGAGCTATGTTATAATTAAAATTGCTATAGTGCCTCGGCATTTCAATTTCTTCAGACATTTGTCTAAGGAACGTTAGATCATAAAAAATGAGAAACAAACAGTAAAACGTGCATTTTGGTTTATGTAAATTTTTTAAATCTAATAGTTTCTTAGATCAACCGCAATAATTGTCCTATGACATTTCAATATCCTCATTGATTGGTCTAAGGAGCCATTAAATTTGTCAGTATTAGAAGTATTACCACTTTTTCACTTACGAACACACAGGATCAAGATATGGCCTAGAAGAAGAAAGAAGACATATTTAAAGTGATTTGGCCCTGATGATGAACTTAAAATAGGTCGAAAGCTTTGCAGTAGCGACTAAATTTGCTTTCTTCTTCAAGACCATGCCTTGATCCAGAGCCTTGGTGAGCCATTAAATCATAAGTAAAATGGGTTCAAACAATGAAAATTTTTAATTTTGGTTTAAGTCACTGGTTGGTCTACTTTTTATATATTTTTTTATATACTTTTGTGATACTTTTTCACTTACGAACACTTTGGAACACTCTGGTCTTGAAGAAAAAAGCAAATTGTTACTGCCAAGCTTTCGAAGTTTTTTAAGGTCATCATCAGGGCAAAACAATCTGAAATATGTCTACAGATTGACATGTTTAAGATTTTTACAGGCAATCTCAAATTTCCTTGAAGACCCAATCAATTTTAACACCGCCAAGAATTGTAACCAATTTGTTATTACCTATTACCAATATGCTATGTTGTTCTTGAAGACCAGTGATCGTGTTTCTTTTGTATTACCTATGTGAAATCGATCAAATTATTGAGACAAATTTCACATTATTTTTGTTTTTATATTTATTTATAATTTTTTTATTTGCGGCATTGTCCATTTCTAATTGTACATTTAAAACCAATTTTTTAATTTAAAATTTTCAAAAAGAACATATGTAGTTGACACAACTTTCATACGACTATTGTAAGTTTAATTTTTTTGTATGAGATATTGGTCATTTTTTAATAGAACGATGTTTAAATTCTATCATTTTGATTATATAATTGTTTTGTATTCAAATTCTGAAAATCAACCTATTTTTGTCGACATAAGCGACGGATTATTTTGCTTTTGTAATTTGTCATGTGTATGAAATATTTTTCATGTTCATTTTGACAGATATTTAAAACCAATGATTGTTTGAAGCAATGTTAATTTTTAATTGTACCTTTGCAACCGATTCCTTGTGATAATTATATGTTTCTTGTTTCCTTATTAACATTTTCAATAAAGAACACATGCAATAGCATGTGCTAAATATTTCATACTATTATCGCGCTTTATTTTAATATTTGTTTGAAATATTGTTCAGTTTTATTTAAAACCAATGATTGTAATATTTTATGTGTCATTTTTTCTTATCAAAATTTTCAAAATGATATATTATTGACACATAATTTATATTATTTTTATGTAAATGTTTGTTTGAAACATTATAATTTAATTGTACAAGTAAAACCAATTATTGTGTTCATTTAGTTTCTTATTTTCTTATTGCAATTTCCAAAATGAACAGAAGTCATTGATATAAATTTCATTTGTTTTTTTGTGTTTATTTTAAACTTTTTGTTTCAAAAATTTTTCATTTTTAATTTATTTTACCTAATATTTAAAAACGAATTATTGCTATCATTTTATGTGTCTTGTTTCTTAACAAAATTTCCAAAATGAGCAAAAGCTATTGATTTGAATTTCATTTGATTTTGTGTGTATTATGCTAAACCTTTTGTTTCAAACACTTTTCATTTTTAATTTGTTTTAGCTAATATTTAAAAACGAATTATTGTAATCATTTTAAGTGTCGTTTCTTATTTTTTTCAAAATGAATAAAAATTGTGTATTTTTTAAATCGTGTTCATTTTATGTTTCTTCTTATGTGTTAGAATTGTTATAATGAGCGAACAGTTTTTGACACAAATGACCTATTATTTTTATGTCTCGTTTTTTGTTGGAAACATAGTTCACTTTTAATTATTATACTTTTAAAATTAATTATTGTGATCTTATGCTTTTTATTTTTTTCGGAACGTTTTTCATTTCAATTTGTGCAAAATTTAGTACCAAATGATTACAATCAATTTGTTTCTTGTTTCGCATTAGAATTTAACGTGTTTTTACAACAAATTTTTTTTGGTAATTTTATGTTGTATGTGTTGACATTAAAATTTTACAAAGAAAACATGGGTAATAACAAAATGTCTGGTGTTATTTTGTGTTTTTATATTGTTGTTTTTGAACATTATTCATGTTCAATATGAGCACCAATAAAAAAATGTATAGTAATCATTTTATGTTTTTTCAATATAAATTTAAAAAATTAACACATTTCTAAAACAAATTTTGTATTTTTATATTTTATTTTCAAAACAATCTTCATATTCAATTTGAGCAATATTTAAAATCAAATTATTTGTTGTTCTGAATTTAAAATTTTAAAAATGAAATATTCATTGATACAAATGTCATTTATGTCGTGTTTTTATGTTTTATTGTTTGTGTATTAAACAAATTATTGTAATTTTATGTTGCATGTTTGGTATTAAAGTTTTACAAATGAAACTTTGGTTAATAACAAAATGTCATTTTGTGTTTTATTTTTTATTTTCGCAACGTTTTTGATGGTCAATCCGCGCAATATTTAAATGATTTTATTGGGTGCATTAACGTCCTTGTATTGCTTTATACTTAAATTCTACACGTATTTATTTCGTTTGGATCTTTTTATTGATTTCTCAAAACCAAATTTTGTGTTTAAAATAAAACAAAAAGAATATGTTTGTTTATAATAATAATAAATGAAATATTTACAAATAAAATTGTGGTACCTACACCATACTGGCAAGTAAATTTTATTTTGGGGTGAAGGTCTAGAAAAAACCATATGATGGAATGAAATCTAAGAAGATCTTGTGGCATATGGTCCTGGCAGAAAATTATAACTGCTTAAATTTTGTTCTGTTATTGTTGACAAAGCAATAAAAATTTCCGAAAATAGGAAAGGACTTTTTTTAACAAGTCTAATGCAAATTCGACAATGAAAGACGACAGTGTATGGTTCTTTTTCAATCTAGGTAAATATAAAAAAGTAACTTCGTGAGGAGTGATATGACGAATATCAGGCTGATTTCCATTGTGAATTTTCAAAATGAGAATTTCCTTTTGTCGGAATTTGTGTCGGACGGATTTCATTCCCGTGAAATACTGACATCTTACAAAAATTACCTCTTCTGTCGTAGCCCTCCAGTTTTGTTCGAACTCGGCGTGTCCTCAGCCACTCGCATCAGTTCTTGAGAGGAGCCAATAAGCTAAGCACATTGTAACAATAGTGTTCACTAAGGGACGTGAGGACCGCGACGCGTCCAAAGAAGCATATTCGCTTTCGAAAGTCTTCAAAGGTAAGATAGACGTGTTGAGCTTTTTCAGGTGACTTTTTTTTGTTTTGTTCCTGTAATAAGGACGAACCTACCTGAAGCGTTTATATGGAATGACTGCTGTTCCGTTGATGTTTGAGGATGTGAGTCAGGTGGCGCCACGGTCTCCTGGAACCAGAGAACAAAAGTAAAAGTCAACGAGTGCTTGAGAAGGATAGAGAGGGAAGAAGGAGTGTTAGAGAGAGTGCAACGATATATAGAGAGGGAAGAAGGAGAGAACGCTTCCTTCGCCCGTAACCACGACCGCAACGTTTAATTGTACCTCTCGTTTTATTCATTTCCCAATTTTTTTAACCATTCTCTCTTCTTATTTCTGCTAATATTACAATGAATTTACAAAATCAATCAAATTTCTAACAAATTCTAAAATTAATTATCATAAAAAAATTATATTTTACGCGTGAATCTAGTGTTTTTAACTATAGAGATTCAGGTAAGTATTAAAATGATAAAAAAAGACTTTCATCAATGAACACAGCCGGAAGAACATCATCCAAAGAGTAAATTAACAAACCGCAGACTTTTTTGGAAGAATGTTGCTTTCACTGGGGAAAGGTTTAACTTGTTCGGGTCTGATTGGCACAAACAGTTTGAAAAATACTTGAGGAACTGAAAAAATGTGTTAGTTATATCTGCCATAACTTGATGTTTACATAACCAAAATGTTCAAGTGCCAATAGGACAATGATAATGAGAAAAAATCCCACAGACCGAAGTCACCAAGTCCACTCGGTTACCGGGACATAAACTGCATATAAAAAACATGTGGTTATGCTTAATGTTGCTTAGCTTTAAAAAAATCCAGTAGTAGTCATACTAAGCGTACAGGTTGTCCAATGAACAGACAACCGACGCCAGATTGAACTAAAACTCCCTATTGTCTAAAGTCTGATTTTCAATTGTATTCGAGATATATCACTTTTCAGGTTACTTCAACCTTTCACAATTTTATTCAATAATCCTATTGTTTGATAGTTACCTATCGTTTTGGTCTGCCTATCCACGACTGACAAATATCAGAGAGAATAGACCAAGAGGGACTATGTAAAACTAGGTTTATCACCCCGCAGACCACAGGAGGAAATCTCACAATTTATTCCTTAACGTCTAATTTATCTCATAAAATGTTAATCCTGTTTTAATTAAATTGCACCAATGAAAAGAGCATAAAAAACCCTATGAGATTCGTTTGTTTTGTTTTTTATTGTGTCCTTAAGCAAAATCACATAGAAGATAAACTTTGACGAAATTACGTACATGTGGTTACAGTTCATTAGTAGGGGCAACTTTTAAGTCAGTAATGACAGAACCTAGGAAATCTTAATTAAACTTTAGACTTTGTGAACTTGTAAAAGTTTACATTTTAAGTGAATGTGTAATTTACAAAATTACATAACCAAAATGTTAAGTACCAATAGGACAATTTAGTAAGCACAAATCAAATAGACCCGAGTCACCGAATCCACTAGGTCACCGGGATATAAATTATATGTAAAATTATTATATTATTACAAAATTTCACAATTTTATTCCATAAAACTATTGTTTGATAGTTACCTATCGTCTTGGTCTGCCTATCCATCTGACAAATATCAGAGAGAATAGGAATAGGCAGACCAAATGGACTACGTAAAACTATGTTTATCACCCCGCAGACCACAGGAGGAATCTCACAATTTATTCCATAACGTCTAATTTATCTCATAAAATGTTAATCCTGTTTTAATTCGATTGCACCAGTGAAAAGAGCATAAAAAACCCTATGAGATTCGTTTGTTTTGTTTTTTATTGTCTCCTTAAGCAAAAATCACTTAGAATATAACTTTTACGAAATTACATACGTTTATAGTTCATTAGTAGGGGCAACTTTTCTGTCAGTACTGACAGAACCTAGGAAATCTTAATTAAACTTTAGACTAGAACTTTGTAAACTTGTAAAAGTTTACATTCTAAGTGAATGTGTAATTTACAAAATTATTTTTTAAAGTTTAAGTAAGGTTTCCTAGATTCGTGAAATATTGATTGATATGATGCTTATAGAAAACCGGTCAACTAAGAGCTATAAACACACACAAACACAAGCACTCTCGATACGTCACGCAAGAATGGCACAATTACACAGAAGACAAATACTTTGAGCCCTGAAGATGATCTCAATAAAGATCGAAACGTTGGCACGATTAAGAAAATGTTTTTCTGAAACCTACATCACACCACACCGCATCTCACGATTTCTAAATTAATATAAACACATATACATAATTTCTCAAAGTTCAGTTTTCACCAATGTAAAATAACGTTTAATTGCTAAATTGTTTTTTTCTTCGGTTACAAGCTGTTAGAAAATAGTAATCAATATTTTTGAAACATGTATTAAAAAATAGTGAAAGTAATAAAAAGTAAACGAAAAAGACTTTTTAATACAAAATGAATGTAATAAAACACAAAACTTCATAAAATTAATTTTAATGTTTAAATTACCCACTTTCTTGAAGAATGCAAGCCAAAGAACATGGATATCTAATTTAATTTTTATGAGCTTTTTAATTTTTTCTGGGGAAATTAACTAAATTCATTTTCAGTCCATTAGTAGGGGCAACATTTCTGTAAGCACCATTTCTGTCAGTATTTACAGAACCTAGAAAATCTTACTTCAACTTTAGACTAGAACTTCGTAAACTCGTAAGTTTATATTCTAAGTTATTTTAATGTGTTTTTTTTTTTTTGCTTACAGTCACAATAAAAAACAAACGAATCTCATAGTGTTTACAATGTTGCAATAAAATTTCCAAAAGGATTAACATATTATGACACACGAGGGACTTTATGAAAAACATGAAGGATTGAACTAACCTGAAAAAAGAAATATCTAGGTAAAATTGGGAATCAAAATTTGGATGTCAGCTCCTTTTTTCTTTTCTTTTACTTGTGTTCCATCAATTTTGATTTTTATCCAGCGTCATGCCTAAATATTACAGTGAACTTTGGGATGATTTACCGTTGAAGGTTGGCTTGCCTACTAATTTTGTGAAGAACATGAGGGTAATGCATACTTGTCCAACTTCGGCTATGGTATTGGCATTGGGATTGACACTACTGAATACATCCAGGCATAAGTGCAAAACAGGCTCTTAAAACAAAATTTAAAAAACTGATAAAGTGGGGTCTTATTGCATTATAGATGGAGCATGGAGAGAAGGCGGAGTAAAAGGCCCAAATTCTTAAAGTAAAACCTTTAAGCCCCACACTATTTATTCTTTAAGCTGAGATCCGTGTAATACCACACTATACTCAAATTCGATTAAAAAGTGCACAAGTACACATATTTTCAGACAGCTAAGCAGTACTGGAATCTTTCGATTCTTCAATATTCAACTGGCCAAGGTATGCCTAACATATCTTCAACTCCTGGATGATCTGGTGATTCTGATATGGGTGTTAGGACACGGGAGATTGGAGGCAACAAACAGGCCGACAAACTAGCAAAAAGAAGGGGCAGCCATACAGACCAGAATTACAAATTGGCACGACCTAAAGCATGCTAAAAACGGAACTAGACAAATGGATGGAGAAAGAAATGTCCACACTCTGGAAATTCACCACCCATGGGTCTTTTAGTGACATAAAGAAAAGAAGAAAAAAAAAGATCATTCGTTACAAATATACAGATAGTTGATGTATAACAGTCCTTATAACATTTTAAAGCTCAATTTGATTTAAACTATCATCGACATGATAATTTATACAAACTATCGTTATTTTTATCCCTACAAAACTGATTAAAGGCATTTTCAATTGAATAGTACATTACACTCCACGACTTCGGACCTCCTCCAGACATGTCGATTTCTAAGCTGAAATGAAGTTGAAAAATACCTTTCAGTTTTTATTTAAAAAAAAAAAGGTTTAGTTTACCAAAATAAATTCATACTGATTTTAAATTTTATTTTAAAAAATATTTAAAGGTAGCGTGACAGATTAATCGATATTTTATGCAATAAATATTAAGCGTATTATTATGATGAACAAAAGCAATCTTTTGGATTACTCATGGGCGCAGCACTGTTTCTAAATTATACCGGTGATCCACATGGCCTCGTCCAATTTTAAGGCTCAGCTTAATGAATATAAAAGCTCATTGGCACTGGCAGGAAAGCTTTTTAACGGTTTGCTAATGCAAGAACTTAAGCCGAACAAAGTGTGGGGGCGATGAACGAAACCGTCGCTATCCGAGTGAGGGTCAAAATTAGTCCATACAATAATTATGTGAACTAAGCGAATACATACCATACATATTATATGTATATGGAATATCAGTAGTTGGTGTGAATAAGATTAGAATTCCATTTAATATCAGTCGTAAAAGAGGAATCGGGGAGAATGGAAAAAAAGGGATTATGCTGGGGTATATAATGTCTTACTTTATTAACCCCTAACTGATCCAGTCTTCAATTTATCCTTAAAATGAACCTTTATCTAGATCATATATTTCCTGGACATCCGTTCATTGCCCTCTTATTCTAAGTTTGTATATTCTTCCGTACCACTTTCATCATCAGGATAAGAAATTTCAAATACTTGAGGTCTTGGTTATCTTGTGGGTCTCCAGCTTTATCTCAACATGCTCATGTCTCTATAAAGTCCTGGATTCTCCGTCTTGTCCATTTCTCCTTGTTTTCGTATTTGCCGTCATGACCGCCATCCTAGAGGCTCTGGGATTCATAACGCCCTTTCTTATACTATACACCCATTGGTAACACCTTGGATCTTGTCTTTCATGTGATCCTCTAGGTTCCAAACGCCCATTCATACCAACTTCTCCTTTCCGCCCGTTAATGCGATTATAATCATAGACACCCAGGTGGTGCAGATTGTCTTTTTTACAACCCAGAAATCCTGTTGAATCTGATGTCAACTGGGTTTATACGTTCTGTTTGGTTCTCTTTTAGGTTCTTGTTCTCCAGGTGCTGCCTTATCCTGAAGACTCATCATCTCCAGCATGGCCTTTTGGTCCTTTAGAGCTTGAGATGATAAAAAACCTTCTAACATCTCTGTTTGCAGCAGAAATAGCTGAATTAAAAAATTGAAGTTTACACATACTCGGACTGAGAACCACCGCCGCATAAAGCAGCACATAACGAAAAGAATGGATCTACTAAAAGACCAGAAAGGATAAAATTGATATTGGCAGATATTTCCAATGTACAACATGTGGAAAACTTCCTGCCAGAACTATTGTATCTCGTAATCCATGTTTTCAAGGCTCAACCTTGTTTTTTGGCTTTACCTTATTCACCTTTTTATTTTAAAAATTTGTCATTTTCTACGGATTTTTTCCTTCTTCATTAGCTGGGTGATCTGTTCTTGGCAAATCAGGATCTCGTTCTTTTTTACTTCCTTTTGAATTGAATATCCAGCTCCTTGAATATCCGTCTGTCTCCATCATATCCAAATTCTCCAGAAGCACTGTTTTATCATACTAATTCGTTCTATCCAAGATCGCCGATTTCTTGGATTTGGCCATGTGATCCAACAGCTTCTTCATCTAGATAAATTTATAGCAATGGGAGAAAGTGTTTTGATGAGAAACAGGTAGTTGACTTCTTCAGCCATTACTTACTGACCATTTTAATAACTACGTCTATTTTTTAAGGATTGATCATAAAGAGAAGTTTAAAATAAACAGTTGAGTCGTTGAATCATGTATCATCATTAACCCTAGTAAAACGACAAAAAAATTAATATACAGGGGGTATGATCTAATGAATGGCAGCTGCTGAAGATAAAATAACATCCCGATAAGTGGTTAGATGTCGAATGCAGCATGCCAAAACAGAATCTTCATCCGACAAAAATAATAGTGGCTGCATATTGGATGGGATCCATTTTTTAATCCAACAAGGAGGGAACTGTTAAGCAATCGTTCAAATGTGTCACAATATGACAAAACCCGGCCGGCGCTGGGTAGGAAAAGCTGAGAAAGAATTAAATGAACTTGGCTATGAAATCAAAGCGCATGGCACCTACAGACTATCAGTGATTTTGTAGCCAGGACTTAATTCGATGTTGAGCTTGAAATGCATGCACTAGTCTCGATACCACTAGGATCTCAAAAATTATTAACTTATGCTGTTAAAATATTGAGAACAATTTCTTAACAGCATAAGTTAAAAGGACAAGTTAAAAGGTCCAAGTTAAGTAGAACTATATGCCCTTAAAAGTCTGCAAACAAATTTAGCTTCTCCATGTAATACTTAAGACTGATTTCTGTAGCTTTGATAGTGGACAATCATGGAAAAATCGCAGATAGTTTTTATAAATAAGAACGAACGTAATTAAATTATTTACCTGTATTGGAGCTGAAACCGCGCCCAGTTCTTCATCGTTGGTGGTTGAATTGTTATTGTTTGTTGACTGCTGGGTGATGTTATTCAGTGACTCTAGATTGATCGCCTTAGACTGTACTTTTTTCTGGTTATAAAAAAGCAAAAAATTAATTATTTATTACGTATAAATAAAGGATAAGTCTCATCTATCTCCTTCTCTCTCGCTCTCTCTCTCTCTCTCTCTCTCTCTCTCTCTCTCTCTCACACACACACACACACACACACTCACTCTCTCATCTTATTATATTGTTTCATACTTGAAATTATATCAGGTTTTGTTCTTTGCTAAATGGTTTTGGAGAAATTTCTAAAAGAAAATGATATGATAATGCCCATTCCAGTTCTAGGTTTCTATTATAATAATTGTCCCAAAAAATTAATATTTAAAGTTTTTAATGCCAAAGATAATGCTACTAACCTAGAGGATAATTCGTCGAGACAACGGTAAAAGAAAAGAATGGGAAAATCGAGGTCATTAAACTCCCGCCATTATTTTCCTCCGGCGTTTTAATTACATTCTGAGAGTTGAACGGTTTACCGACGACTTTTGAGGGAATAACGATAAAAAAAGCGGATTTTCTCGAGGAGTTTTGACTAGTTTTTGATTTTTTAGGACAGCAGTGTACTTAGATTTGTTCTGTTTTGTGGCCTATTTTATAGCAATAAAATAATATTGGGTTAAACGACAGCTTTTTATTAAACAAACAGTCAAACAACAAATCAATAAATCGGACTGCATAGAAAAATACAAATTAAACTGCCCCTACCGTACAGAAGTGTCATAAACTCGTAACTATTTTCATAATTAGTTATCATTGTGCTTAAAATTTTCCCCAAACCGTTTTGTTCATAACATAATTTAGTATATTTTATTTTATTTACAACCCCATAAAACATTATTGCCAAAAAAATGGCAAAACAGCACTTTCTAAAGGTTTTCTGTGTAGGCCAGTCGAAAGTACGTTTTTAGCCGGAAAAATCGAGTTCCCTATTTCTATTGATCAAAACTAGTTTTTCAAAAAGCTAAATTTCAAATCACTTTTATAGTTTTACCAAGTTGAAAGCATATTTGGCTTGGGTTTTAGCCGAAGATGCCACTTTCAACAAAATCGTTAAAAAACGCAACTGTAAGTACATACCAAAAGAAGCACGGAACAATCACAGAGTACAAAGAACTTTTAAAATTTCGGGAAGTACAAAACGTCAACTTTTATTAAACGATCAATCATTGTGAGTTTTATCATGAACTTCTAGTGATTCTTTACCAAAACTGTGCAGAAAACTGAACATATATTAATAAAAGAATAAACACACCGACTTCATAATAATAACGCTACGAAACGATCGGAGTTAAAAACTTTTAAAATTTTTCCAAGTACAAAGCATAAAATTTTAAGAAAGTATCGAATAGTAGTAACAGTATCGTTTGTAAAAAATGACACACAGTTATCCTTCACCAAAATTATTCCTCTTTTGAAGATTAAATACATCAAATTCAGAACCAATAGTGCTATAGAAGGAGTTATGTAGCAAGGAAAGCCACTTATACAGTTTCAAGTACTAAACGTACAATTTGACGGAACTATCAAGCATTACCAATTGGTTTTGCTCAAAGATGTCACAAGCTCCTTCTTCAAGTCTTTTGAAATTATAAATGCACCGATATTAGATGTAATAGCTCTCTGTAAAGATCCGAGTGTGCTAAAAACGTTTAAAGTTCTGCCAAGTACAACCATCAAATTTCACCGAACTATCAAGCATGTTTTGTCAAAAATGACACTTGTGGTGATCCTTCGCCAAAAATCATTCCTCTTTTGAATTGTAAATACATCAAAATCAGAACCAATATTTCTATAAAAACATCCAAGTAGCAAGGAAAGCCACTTTTATAGTTTCATCAAGTATAAAGCATACAATTTGACGGAACTATCAAGCATTACCAATTGGTTTTGCTCAAAGACATCAGAAGTAACAGCTCTATGAAAAGACCTGAGTGTGCTAAACAATTTTAAAGTTTTACCAAGTACAAACAACAAAATCAACTATCAAGCATGGCAAGTAGGTATTGTCAAAAATAGCACTTGTAGTGATCTTACACCAAAATCCTTCCTTTTTTGTAATTGTAAGTACACGGACATCGAAGCAATAGCTCCATTAAAGAATCCGAATGTACAAAGAAGTTTTAAAATTTTATCAAGTACAAAGCATCAGATTTTAAGAAACTATTAAGCATTGCAAAGTAAAGAGCTTTGACAAAAATGGCACTTGTAGTCGTACTTTACCAAAATCGTTCCTCTTTTGAGTTGTAAATACATTAAAATCAGAACCAGTAGGTCTATACAAGGAACCACGAAGCATGGTAAAGGTCTAGGTCAAAGTTGGGATATGTAGTCATCCTTCTCCAATTCTTTTGGAACTGTAAATACACCGACACCAGAAGCAATAGCTCTTTTGAAGGATCCGAGCGAACAAAAATCTTTTAAAGTTTTACCAAGTTACAGAGCATTAGATTTTAAGAAACTGTCAAGCACTGTAAGTAGCTTTCCTCAAAAATAACATTTGTAGTGATCCTTCTCCAGGACTTTTGGGAAAGTAAATACACCAATAAGTCAATGGAAAAATCCAAGTGTGGCAAGCAAAGGGAAATTTGTAGCAAGTACAAGCCATAAAATTTTGCGAAACTATCAAACGTTGAAAATGGGTTTTTGGCCAAAGATTCCACGTGTAGTGTATCATCATTAAATCTTTTGTAACTGTGAATATACAGACACCAAAGACAATGTATGGGCATATTAGATTATCCCATACCTTTAGGACAATTCCATTGTGCAAAGCACTTTTAAAATTTGGGCAAGTACGAATCATTTTATGAAACAATCGAGTATTGTGTTGTTTTTCAATCGAATCTATTAGAACTGTAAATCGTCGTCACACGTTTTAGCCTGGGCCTCTGACAAATCACGAGAATCTAATCTCGGCCGGATATTCCCGTCATCAAGATTTCTTTGATAGCCAGTTTCGGCGTCGCTTAAAGGTGAAAATAGTGGCCGAAAATCCACGAGTCATCCGCATTCACTCTCGCTAAATGCTGAATTACGTGAGGCTTGTTTTTAACAGTTGTGTAACGCCAAAACACTGCAGTATTACGGTGCACTTTTCCAGCACTGCCTTGGAGACAACGAATCATGATTTTTTCACTTAGCATCTTCTGGTTGATGTTCATAGAAGAATAAAGGCTATGTTGTAGATTAGATGATTGAAACATTTAAATAGGATTAACGTTTTGCCAAGGATTTTTGTTCTAGTCTAAAACCGATGGAACAACGCATTATTGTGCGTTGAACGCTCCATATTTTTTTATTTTTAGCCAAATGAAATACAGAAAATAAAATAGCTTGGAAACTTCGTGTCTGTTGTTCTTATAGAATAAGGTTTTTCTTATAGAATAAAATAAATATGAATATTGCAACCACATTAATAAACATTGGGTTCTTATTTAAATAATCCGTTAGTACTAAAAGTAGAGCATGGGACTTAGGACAGTTAGAACTTATTTCAGAGTATCAAGAAGTAACATAAAATAAATTTATGTTTTTTTAAGTCTCTGCAATAAAATTATAAGTTTTTTCTGATAATTTTAATATTTCTTTAGCGTAACTCTGTTGTGACCAGGAGTGGATGTGTTTACTTTTATGTAATGTTTGTACGACTTGTTTTCGCTTACTCTTCGGTTTCTGCTAAGACACAAAAAATACTACATTACAATACTAGATTTTTTTAAATTTGGATTTTGGATTTATATAAGCTCAAATCCGCACACACTTGTGCAGAGCTGAGCCTATCACTTCTTGCTGTCCATTGGCAATTCCACCTTTTGTAATCTACAATAAATTACCTGCATTTTGCATGAATTGATTAATGAATTGGCAACAGACCCTCGGTCTTACCGTCCAGCCGGCGAGGATGAGCTCCAAAAGCTGTAAAAGCTAGGTCATTTCAGGTCCCAACGCAATCGGTTCTTAGATCCAAACCCATTCACACCCTCATTCATTCTTAAATGCATATTTTCCTGTATTCATATCGTTCACTCATGGAGTACTCGATATTCCTCCATGACCTTTTACACCTATTATTATTATTATTATTTTTTTTTTTTATCATTTCAGCCCCCCACTAAGTCTATATTCTATATTCTATACCCGTTCAAACACAACATTCATACAAATAAATACATTCATACACTTAAATACATCCATACAGTACACTCATTCCGTTTGGTCGGTGGAGTACTTGATATTCCTCCACCGACCTACACTTAAACTAAACTAGATTGGGGTCGATGGGGTACTTTTATAAATATTCCGCCATCGACCCCGAACACACACTCACTCGCTTTCATCGTTCGAGGGGCGATGATGACGTTATATTCACCCTCACCCCTCGCCATTCACGCTAATAAATACATGCACACAGACAAAACATATAGACACATAACACATAAGACATATTATATACAATAAAAAACCCCAATTTCCCCTAAAAAGCGGAACAGGGGACTCTGAAACTCGCTACCGTGCTCGAGGACTCTTCTTAAATCCGGCGGCATGCCGACACGCTCTCTGTATGGAGCCAAGGACACGCCTCTATTATGTGGGACACATCGAGCAACCTTTCTCTGCATAAGAGGCACCTGCGCGGGCTTTGGCCCAAAAGCAGGTGCCCATGTGTCAACCACACACCTTAATGGATAAATTACAAAGAATTTGTACGACATTTATTGACTATAATCAAGATAATGATACACCTATTATTACTAACCTAATTGAGAGTCGATGGAGTACTCAATATTCAGCCATCGGCCCTCTCACCGCCAAAAAATGCATTCATTCTCGATACATGTTAGACACAAAACTATAGACAATAAAACAATGGTTTTCTTCAAAATTCGAACAGTGGACCCCATACTCGCTGCCGCGCTCCTACACGCTCTTTATATAGAGCCAAGGAACCCCTCAATTAGGCGGGACGCATCGAGCAAAATTTCTCTGCATGCCAGACCCTTAAAAAATAGAATTTTAATCGAAACAAAGAGAAGATCGATTTGTAAGATTAGATGTAAAAACTTTATGACGATTTTTGCCTTCTTGCACCGTCTACGAATATTTTTGTCTTTCGAGTGAATTATTATGATACTCTGATCTAATATTCGCTACAATATCATGATAATGTATCGTAATGTTTGGAATAAAAAACTAATATTAACTTTTTGTTTTTTTGCCGGCTAATTAATATGGTCATTGCCGGCTCCTCGCATATTTGTCCTTCTCACGTTATTTTAAAATTGCGAAAATATGTATTCTTTTCTCCATTTCTCATCTGGTTTCTGTCATATACCTACAGTTGCTAGACGATCCATATGTTTATTAGTATTTTGTTATTATTATGTTTATTTACCTATCTTCCACACGCAATACTCCTAGAACTCATATTACATACATACACACTCATGCTACATGCTCATAAGATGTTAATGTAACCTATGCTTGGTAGGTCTCAGTGTACAAATGACCCAGAATACCCACCCCTATATCTAACTGGGAGTCGGCCAGGTGAGATTCACCCGTCATTCACGCCAATAAATACGTTCATCTTGAGTAACCTTTCATGCCGTATTTACAAATAAAAATGACAAGACACCGAGTATTTTTAGTGCCCAGCGTTTCACCGCCCTATCACACTCCACTTATTCTTTAACCTAACTAACCTAAATTTTTGACAAATCTGCGGAGTACTCGATATTCCTCGGCAGACCCGTCTACTCATACATAACCACTCACGCTAATAAATACATTCACACTGGACAGGCTCAACGGATGCCGTCGAGCCCTTACCTCACATAAGAGTATGTAATACAACGTGAGGTTTATATGTGCCCATATGCATTGAGATTATCTTTATAGTCGCTGACATGCCTCAGAACACATGACATATCTTCAGGTATGTTTGCAAATCGTTCGTAATCTTCTAAAACGTATTTCACTGTGACAACTGCGCCACACAGAGGGCACTTCTTGGGTCCTTTCCAATGAGGTGGTACCGTGGGTAAGGCCAGTGTGGCCTATCCTCTTTTTCATTTTTTCCGGGGCCCAGGGTTTTAACTCTGTCTCTTATTATTTCTTTAATCTACTTTTCAAAAACACGAAAATAATCAATCTGCATGTAAGAAAATTCAAATTATTTATTGAAACAAAATGCGATGCTGGAAAGTACTTTTCTATTGTTAAATTATTATTATTATATAAGTAATAAAATCCGGTCTGGAATGGCTAAACGCAAGATGACGCATGGTTTAGAAGGAGTATTACACAGAAAAGTACAAGAAAGCGATGCCCGGAGGACCGGCGATGCCCTTGGTTGTTCCCTCAACCATAAACTCTTTATCTGTTATTATTATAGTAAATTGTAATATTTAATGTCTTTGTTCTTGTTAAATATTGCGGCTATTATAACCAGTACAAAATTATAAAATAACAATTGTAATTAAGTTCATAATTCACAGATTCGTCAAAATATTGCATGTAGACCTTCCACTACTCAAGAATAACAAAAAATTGTATTTGTCCTCAAAAATAGATTAATATTAACTTACCTTTACATACAAATTGACAACAGTGTTATACAGATGGGCGTCCATTTCACACAATAATAACAATTACGTAAAGCCAAAAGTCATTTCACACAAAGAACACACTCCCGACATGGACGAAGGTTCCAGAAGAACTGAAACGAAACGTTCTAAGCAGGCAAGGCCGGAAGTCAGTGGTGATCAGGAATTAAAGTACACCACTCACGGAATGAATACTTACGCGCAATTAAATGCGACAATTCTTTTTTAACAGATTGGAGCTTATATTATTTGTTAAATATATATTATAAAATTTAAATAAATTTAAAATAGATTTAGGCATATTGATAGGCCCCAAGCTATTCAAACGATTCGTTCTATCGGCTTAAAATTTCTAAAATATTCAATTTTTTAGCTAATTTTAATACATAAACAAAACAGGAAAATATCAAGTACACTATATTTCTAAATAATGTTTTATGAAGATAACAGCAACAGCCTGATGGGGCCATAACACTAGATGGGTAGGTAAAACGATACATAGACAAAATGTTCAAGAAAAATATTTTTTGCATTATAAATAATTGTTTCTAGGTTGAGCTTTTCGCTATTTTTTTTTTCATAAATAGGTGCTCATTTCTTCTGTTCTGTATCGCACTTCAAATGTAATTTCAAATAATTAATATGTATCCACCATTTTCAAATCTATTTCGACCTCTTTTCATATTGTTATTGTTTCAATATTTATAGTAGCAATTTTCCGATGGGGAAAAAAATTTAGCCCTTCTAAATTATTATCACATGCAAAACAGCCAATCGCTCCTCTTGTATGTATATGGTCCAATTAAAAAAAATAAATAAATAAAAATTTTAAATTAATTGATACGAAATTTTCCCCAAATTCACACGGTCAAAAACCGAAATAAGTGAATGCAAACCAAGAAAGGTTTTGTACAATGGTTCGAAGAAGAACGGGAAAAAAGCTGCCTGTAAGATGTTGGCTTTGAATATAAAACGGATATTAGAGAATTCAAGTCACGAAAATGACTCTCGCATGCCAAGAACATTGGTGTAGAAGACAAGTTGGATCTTGTCTGGCTATCAGCGTGTCTTTTTCGTGTACAAATATTACACGCCGAAACGGCAATTTTTTGGACATTAAATGCCAATTTGGTGAATAATTTCAAACACGTTTTCGATAGTCCAACATCTCTCGGAAGTTTAATTTCTTAATGTTTTGATAATTATATCGGCAATTGTTCACAAATTATTTTCACCCTAAACCCCTAAAGTCCTTTTGATTTCTCGAGTCAAAAAAGACGTCAAATGATCTTCTATTCAAAGAAAACTCAAGAAAAGTGAAAGCCACCGTCATTTAGGACTTAGTTATTTAAAGAGAAACATATCACTCTGGAAAGGACAGAAAACTCCAAGAAATTATGAGGAAAATAGGAAAAAAGACGAAAAATTGTTAACACACTGAATCAAATGTTAAAATTTTTTAAAAGAATATTTCATAAATTTATAGCTTGGTTGCTGCCGAGTTAAGTAAGATAAATTCACAGTTAATACGCCATGGACCTCAAGAATAAATTACACAATTTGAAGAATCCTGACTTTTATCAATTTCATCCTAAAAATTATTTTTTAAATATTGATGGCATGTTGTATTTCCAAACTTAAGCACTAACTTTCATCGCTTCATGAAAGTTGTCATTAAAGATTGTCAATGTTGTCATTGGATGTCATTAAAGAAAATCCTACAGGCACACAAGTTCTGGAGGGTGAAATGGCAACTTCAGTCGTGAAATTTTTTGGATAGAAATCTAGGAAAAACACTGATGAAGTCAGCAATGAGAACTTGTTGAAAATCAAAATTCCAGTGCCGATCAATTCATTAAAAAACCAATTTCAGAAAATTTTCCAAGTCATGAAAATAGACTTTAATGATCCTTAAATATGATTAATGACTGTGGAAATAAAAGATAAATAAGAAAAAACAGATGACTCAAGTAACTGGCCACAACTCTCAAAGAGCTAGTCCAAACACTCCAACTCTCCCAGGGTTTTAAAAAAAATTCTGTGATAAAATTGTGAATTCATTAGGCAATTTTATCTCGGGCTGTTTTCCTCTTGACTTAATTAGACAATGTAAAACTTTAATATATACCTGTAAATATTTTAGAAGCCCTTCTAGACACTACTTTAAAAAGAAAATCCAGGAAAGGGAGGTCCTTTGAATTAGAATAAATATGTTTAAAGATATAAAATCTCTTTTACCTTCTTTGGCCTCCCTTTATAGGAGAGACCAAACGAAGGCCTTAAAAAAGTAAACCTTCCAAAAATTATAATTTTAGCATGCCAAGTAGCCATTTGTTCCGCCGGTGTGGGGTCTTTCTTAGTCACAGTGGGATGGAGGAGATTGAGGAAAAATGATAAACAGACTGTAAATATTCTTTAGATACTGAAGCCACCCACTAAAAACTATTTTTATTATATTTCATAAAGGTTATAGGTCATAAATGGCTGATGTAAAATAGCGAGAATAGGCAGAACGAAGTGAATAGAAACAACCAAGCTACAGGCTCATCACTTTGCACACCTTAAGAAGAAATCACACAATTTGAAGAATCCTGAATTTGATAAAATTTTTATTACAAATTACTTATAGATGTTGATGGGTTTTTTGTCTTAACCACCAACTTTGATCATTTCATTACTGGCTATTTTGCATTTGTTGATTCCATTAAAGAAAAATTTCTAGATAATCTAAGTTCTGGAAAGGGAATTGGCAACTCCAGTCTTGAAAATTTTTGTATACAAGCCTAGCAGAAACACTGATGAAAAAACAAATTCAGTAAATGTTCCAGGTCCAAATTAACAAGCAGACCAAAATAGCAGACCTAGCAACTGGTTCATCACCCCACAGACCTCAAGAAGAAATCACAATTTGAATAAATTATGAAATCCTCTCTTTCATTAATTTTGTAATAATTGATAACTTTTTTGGTTTGTCCAACTTGGGCACTAACTTTCATTAACACATCAAGTTTCCTTAACAGTTGTTATGCATTTGTCGATGTTATTAAAGAAGAATCTCTAGACAGATTAAGTTCTGGAAAAGAAAATGGCAAGGATAAAAACAGTTTTGTAAACTTTGTAAGCCCAACAGTAAAAAAAGCAAAATGCAAGCTTTATTCTTTAAAAGAAGATTATAAAAGAGTGCTGGTTTTCCTTTTCTGGATATTGATATAATTCCTGCTAGGCTTAAAAAATTTCAAGACTGCAGTTGCCATTTTCCTCATCAGAACTTAGTCTGTCTAGAGATTTTTCTTTAATAGCCTCATCAAATGCAAAACAGTAACTAAGGAGACAACATTTCAAGCAAAAAAAATTTCAAATTTTTACTCAATTATTGATTGACTAATTAGTTATTAAGGAAACCCAATTATTGAGTGGTTAGGGTGTCTAACTCCTATTTGCCAAGCTAGCAGTTCTAAGTGAGAAGCCTGGCAAAGTTAAAGCGGTTTGACCCCTCGTCCACAACATTCAATGGGCAACTGGATGTTCAGCCTTTCTCATTCCTGCATCACACTTTAATTAATTGTTGAATCCTCCTGACTTTGAACAAGTTTACATTACACATATTTCTTATAAACAGACTTTTTTCCATTATATCAAAACTTTGGCACTTTTATTTAACATGACTAAATATAAGTGATTGTTTTGCCTTTGTTACTGCCAGTAAAAAAAAAGCTCTGGACAGAGCTTTATTTGTTTTATTATTTATGGAAAACCTTCATTAGATTATTAAATGTTTACTCAGCTTGTACAAGGCTATCAAAAATCTGTCAAAAAGAAATGTTGATGAATTGAATAAAATATATTTTCCCAAAATACAATTGATCATGTTTCAGAATTTGTTAAATTCAATTAAACTAAAAAAAAAATTTTTTTTCAGATTATACTCTCTTTGTTATAGATGGTGTGAACTACTCTTATTGATTCCAGTGGGTAATCCGAATCAGCACAGTTAATACTGGCTTGAATAAATTGTAGTTATCCCAGAATATAAAGAAGGGAGGAAAAAAAATCAAATTTGTACAACTGATTTTTATTACATCAAATTTAACAAAATGTATTATATTAATAAAATGTTATTTTCAATAAAACACAATACTGTACTTGGTACATATAATCTTTTAAAAGACATAGCGGCTTTCTTGCTGGGCAACCAATAAATATTCTAAACTATAAAATGCAGTAGACTCCCGTAGAACGCAGGGGATACATTCTGCATAATACGAAATAGCATTATATAGACCATAAATTATCAGATTAATTTATGATTTGGATGATATAGAGAAAGAACTGTTTTTAAATAGTAATAACATTCAACATAAAACTATGGCCTATTCAAGTGATGAATCTGTATGACCAATATTAACAAAGCGGCATCGCACATTTATTGATACTTCTGATAGTGAATAAATTTTAAATAGTGAAATGCATATTTTTATTAAAAGTTGAATAAAATTATTTTCCTATTATACCTTTAAATGTGTATGTATGTATGTATTTATTTATTTACTTATTATTTTTTCTTTTTAATAAGCAGCTACTTTTGTAAACTGTTCATACATTTGCTTTTCTAAACAAAAATCAGAAACTATGTGAAATGTTGTTAAATATCTTATGCGTTATACAGGACTGCTTATCGTGCTGTACGATTATTTGCAAGTTTTTCATTACATTAGAGGTTATTATACAGAAGCGCATAATACGGGGGTCCACTGTACACAATTGACATCAATAATATAAAAAAATAAACATTTTTGTTTGTTCATTATTTGTTTACCATACCGTAAGCCTAGTCCAGACTGTAAACGATGTTTATGAACAATGAACATTGTTTCAGAACTGCAACATTGTTCTGTGTTCAAGTGATAATTGAACAAGTTTATGCAGTAAATGTATTTATTTTTGTGTGGTGTATTTATTTTACGTAACAGAAATTAAGAAAAGAGAATTAAATTATTTTTCGAGAAGAGGTGGTTAGATAGAGAAAGCACAAGCATGGTACGTCAAACCCTAAAATTTTAAAATGAACCAGATATTAGAAATTCATTTATTTTACTTAGCAAAAATTAAGAAAAGAGAAGCAGGCGAAAGGTGATTATAGAAAGTATTAAACATCCCAAAATTCAAAAAGGTCTTAGAAATTTTACTAGATTGTGATTAAAAGCTTTGTTGCTTATGATTTGAAACAAAATACTTCATTTAGACAATCAGTGTATTTTTAAGATGTGCACTTATAAATCTCATCATCGAACAACAAATAATTTAGCTAATTTACCAATTTTATTTATTAGGATATTTTTTTAATTTATATTTTTATAATCGATATTTATAGTATCAAATAAATTATACTGTGTATGGATTAGTAAAATATTTTCAATTTTGCTAATCACAAACTAATCCTTGGGCTCTAATTGACTGAACTACACACATCCATAAATGTTCAATGCTCTCAGTGTTTCCCCTTCAAACAACTTTTTTATTTCAATGAAACAAGCCTGAAACAAAGACAAACTGTTGTGCAACATTCATATACTGTTTACAACCAAGACTAGGCTTTTCTAGACAGAAATCTTTGTACTTTTGAAAATCAATTTAATTTTTTGATTTTTATACCTGCTGACAATACTGAATGGCAGTTTTTCTATTAAGAAGATTAATATATATGTATATATTATAAAAAAAATTTAAATATGCAGACTGATATTGATTGATTTACCTTTCATGCTTTCAACTATACAAACACATTTGGAATTAACAGAAGTGTCATAAAAGACATGGCTAGGACCCTTCTGTTTGTACTAATTTACAACATATTTTCAGCGGCGATATTGGATCAAATTACATTTAGAGTTGACGATGGGTTTTGGTCTGCGAGTCAGTGAAATCATGTTGAACCAGTACAGGGTCAACATGAAATTTACATATACAACAATGTCAAAGAGAAAGAAAAAAAAAGGATATTTTTGATGTCCTTCTATTGTTTCTTAAATTTCATCATCTGAAAAATTATCAATATAACAGAAACTAAAGCGTGCACATTGGCGCTGAGGTCGTGAAGAAGTGGCAAGGCTCTCAACTGAATAATTTATAGGCGAATCCCTTCCGTTACCAGCGGTGTTGCCGACGCTGTTGACTAGGTTCGTGTAATTGATGCTTTGAATCGGTGGAGAGGATTCTTTAAAGATTTGCCGTCTTGGAAAAAAAAAATAAACAATTAAGTATACACACATATAATTTAACATTGCTTTACTAAAATTTCTATTTCAAAACTGAACTTACTTCATCCTGTGTTTCTTCTTCTTCCTGTCCTCCACAGAGTTCATTCTAAATGTGCATGGAAATAAAGTTGTTTTAACTACCTTTTAATAGTGAATTATTAGTTCAAAAAATACAAATATATTTTAAAACTTGACTCAATAAGAACTTAAATTGTACGTACTATTCAATCTCTTTGAATCTATTACAAAAAAAAACAAAAATACTAACTTAAATTTTTTTACTTGCTTGACTTGTTGATAAATGATCAGGTCATTTTACAGTAATTGCTCAAATAAAATTTCAGGGAAAATATTGTATATGAACCTACTAACGTGAAACAATCATGACAATTCCTCCTCGTGTTATGAAGGATATTAAAAAAAAAAATTTTTTTAAATAAAAAATAAATAAATAAAGCTGATTTAAGTAATTCTAGACATTATACACAATTATTGTGTTTAACTTCCACAAGCCTTTTAACTGGAAACTCGTACAATGTTGTACAAATAACATCATAACTAAGTTGTACAATTAAATTAACAAGGGAAGCGATTTATGGTAAACAAGGGACACATTAGACTGTTATTTTTTTTCCTGTTTTTATTATATTCTTTGTTTCAGTGAGGATCTATGCTGACCCAATGACTGAAACAAAGCTACAAGTTGCTTTATGTCAAACTTATTAACAACCTAACTCAACTGGAAATTAATACACTAGGAACCATTAATTAAATTAATTTTAAATAAGTACAAGTTGTACAAGAAGCAAAGTTCATGTGTCCAAGAATATGTGAAATAATTTTTGAAATTTGAATATTGAAAAATAATTTGAATAAATAAATGCCCCTATATTGAAAATGAAACTGTGATACAGTCTTCCAATAAATAATAACATTATTGATGGATAATAAGTAAAATGTTATTCTATACCAAATATATTTTATATTATATATCAATTAGATTTTATGAGTTAACAACAAACAACAACACATAATAAAAAAAGTTTAACAATAATGGGAAGCTTGCACTTTTTAAGTCCTTTCCAAAGCCATGCCATTAAGAAACAAAAAGCTTTCAAGTACTATAAATTCTACTGAAAACGAACGAAAAACATTCATAAATTCCTCTGGATGGAGTCCTTACCTGTTTTTGTTGCTGATACATATTTATTTTATTAATGAGGGAATCCTAACTATAGGAAATCCAATCAAAGCAACACAAATTTTCCAACAATATTTATGACAAATTTATTAGTTTTCTCGAGTGGTTTATCTTAAAAATAAATAATAAAAAGAAAGAAAGAAAATACTGCAGCCAGTTTGTAGCAAAATAAAGCGATCAATATGATGATGGGAACTGAACAAGACAAAATAAAACAAATAGTTCTAATAAAATGGATTTTTTATTGAATTATAATATAATACAAAAAATAATAACAAAAAAAGATTATGCAGTGAATATTAAGGGAATGTTTATATAAACAAACAAAAATAGATTGAAAGGAAAAATAAATGTAAATTAATCTAGTGGATGGATACAAGTACTTAGGGTCTCCCATACTAAGCAAAGTATTTTTATATTACCGCATCCTCCAATTTTCGCACTCATATCATGCATAGTAACTGTAAAAAAACATTAAATAAAAAACAAATAATGAACTTTTTAATAACAATTTTTTTAAAATTATTTACAGAATCATACACAATTAACTAAGTTTACAAGTGCTGAGAAAATTGTACAAGTGTTTTATTGTGCAGAGAGAGTAAAAAGAGCTCTTGAATATCACGTGAACCAAATTATCATTAATTCACCGAAAATAGTTAAATCAATTTACTCAAAATTTTCTATACATCACATCAAATAATGTGATACACAACCCGCTACTGAAACCAGGAGAGATTTAAATATATTTTTTCACCAATAAATGATTTTTTTATTTAATTAATCCATGAGTAATAACTTTAACTGCATATCAATTTTAACATTTAATTACAAAACAACCCTCATCCATGTAATTCTACTTCTCATTGTCTAAGAAACTAAATTTTAATATACGGTTGTAAAATAAGTCCATAGCGTTTTTCAATAATTCAATTTTATCCCTCTTTTGTTTTGAAGCAATGTTTTGATCATTAATATTTGCACTCCCTAAAAATGGGTTAATTAAGGTGTTTTTATTATTTTGTTTCGTTCAATATCTCATATTTTTACATGGCGTTTCGCATAGTGCATTTTTGTTTTTAATGATTTTTATTACTCCAAAAGGAAAGGCATAGTTGACTGCTAGGAAAATTTGTGATGTGTGGTGTTGGCACTTTAAGAGAAAGCACCGCCATAAGTGGCTTGGTTCAGAAATGGAAATTTTGATTTGGAAGACAAAGCGCTCTGGTTTTACCACTGATGATGATCAAATCCAAGCTTTAACGACACAAAACATCGCAGACACTTATAAAAAAACATATCACAACAAGCGTTACACAATATTACCAAGAGATTTTCTCTCTTAAGCACTGACAAGATGAAATTGTAAGAATTCAGGGCTTAAATTCAATTAGCCCCTGACCCTGAAAATGGGTTACCCTTAATTTAGAAAAGTCCCAGGATATTGTGTTTGGATGCCACTTTCTCTTCCAACCTTTATCTTTTATCCCTTCGTTTACCATTAAGAATCACCCTATTTCTTTTGCCCCACTGTCAAGAACCTTGATACTGACCGTGACAGACCTTATCCTGGAAACCTCACAATTCCCAGATCTCCCATCACTGCACTCTCCATGAGTTCCGCTGTGCCAACCACTGTTTCCTCATTAGTACCCATAAACTCCTAACCACCTCTCTTATTCTCCCCCACTTTGACTACAGAAGTGTCATGTATGGTGGACTCAATGGGGAGCTGTTGAGAGATTTAAGCTTGGACCCCACATGACCGCACCGGGCCCACACTGTGTGGCATCTGACAGTTGGCCGACGCGCTGACGGTGATAGAGGAGCCCACTTGTCTGTACCGTGTTGGACAACACATTCAGTAGTTCAGTAGCTTCAAAGCTGCATCGTTTGAAGCATACATCGTTTCATTGAGAAAAAATGTTAACAAGTTTTAAAAATAGTGAATTAGGGATTTACTGGGAATTATTGGCTTTAGAGCAAGATGTTAATTGGCAAAGAAATCATTGCAGAAAGAGAAAAACGTGGGTTCAAGACACCTGGAAAATAAGATGTATTGAAGGGGAATTTAACTCGCTCCTTCCACATCTAAAATGCGATGAGAAAAAGTTATGTATAAAATTAAAATTGTTCAACATAAAATTATAAAAAGACAATATAGAATACATAAACAAAATGTTTAAAAAAAAGTAAAAAATAAACTCTTCACTGGAGCACACACGATCCATGTCCATCAAAAACTAAACCAAACTAGTCGGGCACGGTGTGGTGTGTAAGTATGGGGTCGGTGAGGAGAGGTGACGACTAGCCAACTCACTTCCATTTTCCTAATCGCTCTCCGTGTGAAACCAGACAGGAGGCCATCACAGGGTGTGGGCTCGGTGTAGCCATGTGAGGTCCAGCCTTTAAGTGTGCCTGACGAATTGTTTTTTTATGCTTTATTTTTAGCAACTGAAGGAATCCACATGACTGATATCTACTCCGGCTTAAATGGGTTATTATTTTATTATTTTACACAATCATCGAATGGGGTAGGAAGATAATTAACAAATTAACATTATTCCCCTCCATTTTCCTTTAAATATTATATGATTTTATTATATCCGAATGTTTGTCACTTTGCGATTAAGACTTTTCCCCTCTGTTTGATTTTTATTATAAATATTTGTATTATTATGTTTAACTTTTTTGTGTGTGGTAGCATATAGCGAATAATGTTATAACCTTGTAATCCATATCTCTTTATTATTATTTTTTCTTTTGTTCTTTTTCTCTTAATAAAGACCTCCGGCAGAGAGAATGCGATCCGTACCTGTACTATGTTTTGTACATAATCATACTGCTATATTCGTAGAAATAAAAAACATTAAAAAAAATTAATTAATCAACATTACGGCACACAACTAGAGGGAATAAAGTCGGCAATGACAAAAAAACAGGATTTTTTCCACAAGAATAATGCTCGCTCCTCTTGACTTTTCAGTCACACCAGAAATTGTTGGAGCTTGGCTAGGATGTGTTGCCCTACCTACACTTGCTTGGCATTGCCCCTTTAGATTTTTATTTATTCCAGGCTCTGTGAAACTCTATTAATGAGAAAAACTTAGATCACTCAAGTAGAGAACATGAGTTTATTGCTCAAAAACCTGAGAATTTCTGGAAGAAAATTACAAAATTACCTGGAAGTTGATAACAAAAAGTTTCATAATTTTGTAGGTTAATCGGTCCGGTTTGTTACACACTTGGAAAACTGACAACCAGCTCTCTTGCATATAATGGATATATTTTGGGACTCACGTGTCCCCTCTTCAGTGATAACTTTCGCCAATCTGAAAGGATATTATCGGAAGGAAGTTATCGCTGAAGAGGGGAAATGTGAGTCCCAAAATATATTCGATATATGCAAGAGAGCTGGTTGTTATTTTTCCTAGTTTTTAACAAACCTGGCCACTAATTATATGAACGACAACATTAAGGGAAAAACATGAATTCATGGATACATGTACAATGTTGTAGGTTACTTTTGTGAAAAACAGTTACAACCAGTTGTTTTTATAAACTGTATATATTCCGAATGAACCCTGCTTCCTCTTCAGCTTACAAGATCTTTACAATAATTCAGGTGTGCCTATTATTGGCCAATTCTGGTACATATATTGTTCATTAAATTTATCTACAAGTATCCGAAATTTTCATTGAATTTACCATTTAAGAAAAGCTTCAGACTATTTTACAAACTGATTTAATTAAAAATTGTGTAAAATTGCATACAAAAATACAAAAATAAATAAATAGTTGTACAAATTTAAATTTCGAGTTCTAAATACAAATTATTGTACAGTTTAAAATTTATCTACTCCCCAATATCTACGCATAACAAAACTACATACTTTCAAAATCACCTAATAATTGTGAATATTTTTTAACTTCTTTTCAAATATTACCAAAATTGGTTTATTCACTTCAACCCCATCTACTATGTTACACAATCAAAACAATACAGTTTAAAAACGCAATAAAAAGACCTCTCGGCATAACCAATATAAAAACATCATTGGAAAATTTGAGTGCGTTTGTACGAAAGTGTGGTTTCTTTTTAAAATGTAGGACTAAAAAAATTGGAAATTGTAGACAAAATGCAGTTAAAAGTATAAACAAAACAGCTATTACAAAATTAATTGCTACATCTCTTTAAAATTTAGATAGCAGTGTTAATTTATAAATTTTGACAAAGACTGAAACTAGAAAAAAAGCATCAAACTCATGCAAGTCGAAAAAACATTCCTGAAAATGAAAACCCAACACAACTTACCCTGGCATGAATTCTGTATCAGAAGTACCGTCATCGTCATCACCACCTACATCATCATCCACTGTTAAAAAAATTTGAGAAAAACATCAATATATAATTATATATCATAAATTGGGAGAAGGGTAAAAGTGTGATTAAAACAAACCGATTTCTTTTTTCCTCCTTGTGTAAGCCCTCTTTGACGTGACTGGTGGCTGATCAGTCTCACCGTGAACCAAACTGCTCCTGTAAAGAACTAACGGCTGCCAGTCCTCACCTCTGCTTGAAGGCATACCCATTGTAATTCTCCTGTCCAAATAACTCAACCTGAAAATCAATTGTTTACAATCATCCGATGATAATATATTATTAAAGAACATATTAAGGCTTTAACAAAGACGTACACCATGCGTTTATCCTGCTTTAACAGTTTATTCGTGAATTCAGTCAATATTTCAAGGAATGGGAGGTTCGGCGGTGGCCCTGTCGGGTCTTCGACGCAGTCTCCAGGCATAACAGCGAACAGGATTCCCTCCCTGTGCAGTACGGTTATGGCCTCCCGATTCCTTACAGCATCAAGACCAAAGGAAAGTGCAAACCTTTTTGCCAATTCCTAAAATCAAACAATGAAGATTTTGTTGAGGTCTGCGGGTGGGTAACTGAGTTTAGTTTATGGACTATTTTGGCCTGTCTATTCTTTTTTTCCGTCAAAGTTTCTCTTCCACTTTGGTATGGGAGGGGTCATCAAAAAAAAGTTCTGTCACGAAAAATGTGTACTTTTAAGAGGGTTCAGTAACTAAAGTTTAAAAGTTATGGATTTAAGTAATACCGTCGAGTAGATCCATTCGGCAAATATCTAACTCATACTCCATACTTCACCTTCACACCTCGATTATCGCTGTACCATGCAGACACCAATTACTCTTACATGAGATAGCATCTGAACTGGATTTGTACACAATAAACTTTATTTAGCACTTAGAGTATTAGCTAATGTTTAATAGTGGAAATAAAATATTTGAATTTTGAAGTAAATAAATTTTTTGATAAGAAATAAAAATGCCAAGATAAGACAAAAGATCGTATAAACTAAATTAAATCCAATTTGCAACCAACCAAGGGCATTTTTGGAAGCAGAGAGATCACATCTCTGTCCATTGAGGAAGAAACACAACAAAAGAAAATGTAACCATATCGAACCAGCTTGGCCAAATTGATCAACGCCAATGACAAATTTCACGGCGTCTTCTTCAGCTTCAAGATATCATCACAAATGTGACTCTAATGGATGTAGACGATCCAGAGGAGCCAACAAATATAAATATTTCATATGCTAACATCAATATGGATAACATGGTAATATGGACCTGTCAATATCAGCAAGTTAATCACTCATATGATGCTTATGATGCTGAGGATTAATATTGTGTAAAACCCTTCCTCAACAATGAATTTGGTATAGCTTGTAATGTCTCCTAAGCCCCCAATTGTATTTATTTTTTAATCATCAATGGTAAGGTAAAGAACCGTAGACATATCTGAAAGACTAAAACAAGGATAGACAGCCCAAAATTTTCAGAATCAACCCAGTTACATATTAACGGAATCTGCTGGACTGTAACAGAGGGAAAATAATTACTTTAAGGCTTGTGAAATCTTCTATAGTCCTTGAAAGACGTATACCCCTCATTCCTTGCTGGAGCTCTTTAAAAAGGGACGTTAAAGCTGCCATCATAGTTCTGGCACAATTCACTTTGTTGATTTCCCTTGCTTTTCCAACCGTTGTTTTGATTATATCTCCATAATCGTTATAAGACTGCAAAAACATTTTTGACATTATGTACATATATTTTTTTATTACTTAACGATTGTATTTTACTTTAACATAGTGTTTAAAAACATCAGCAGCGCATGATGTAGGCAGAATACTATATACAATTAATTTACAATAAGACGCCAGGAAGTTTCGTCTTTTGTGTAGTTCGGCAATTTTTGAATGTTCGTCTAATTCTTCTGTAAAAAGATGATTTATTATTAACTGATTTTTAAATATTACGCAAATTTATGTACCATCTTCTTCATATGTAAAAACGTTATTTTGAATAAAATCGATCAGCATATTTTGAAAATCTTTATCCGGCTCATAAACAAGCCCGCCTAAAGCAGGGTGGTTATTTGAGTAAAGCTGATTGCAAAATACAACCATCAAGTCACAAACAACCAAATAGGCCTGAAATAAGAAAAAAAAGCACAATGAAAGTTGTCATAATTTAAAAAAAATTAACAATAAAGCTTACTTCTTCTTTGTATATTTGACTGTGTTGTTGGACCAACATCATTTTCATAATATCCATAAATAAAACCAGTCTGAAAAAAAGTTTTAAACTCTTAGACAATTTAATTTTTAATGTAAATATTTATAATATTAGTAATATTATTAATTTAGGTAAGCCCAAATCTACACACACATGTACATACAGAGTAGTTTTCTACTTTGCATAAACTGCCGGCAATTTCGGCTTTTGTAACTTACAATGAATCATTGGTGGGTGTTGGCAATCCGGGTCAGATGGTCTTATCCGACTTAGGCTCCAGGGGCTTTTTTTTTTTTTTTTTTAAACATGGGTATTCCAACTACGAGGTTATATGAACCCTCAGGGTGCCAGTGTTTTTTTTTTTGGGGGGGGGGAGCCCATTTGTAAGTATGTTGGGCAGAGCTCTTGGATTCAAACCCGGAACCTTAACATTGCAGTGATGAGCACCATGACAGACAATGCCTAAGACTCTCAACACGTGCTAGGGACACAAAACTATCAGTACTGTACACAATAAACAGCCTTGTTTCTTCCAAGAATCGAAAGAGGGGACCCAAATACTTGTTGCTGTGCTCACACACAATTCTCCTATCATGTGGCATTGGTCTGAAAGGGCTCCTTCATTTAAGAGCATTTCTCTGCTTGCCAGACACATAAGTGAGTTTCAGCCCAAAAGTAAGTGTGTCCATGTGTCAACCTCATATGGCATATTCTTAATCACGAGTAAATGACCTTTCTTGCCAATTATGAACTGTGCACTTGATTCGCCAAAGCTTCTCTGCTAATCTGGCACACCGACGCTGCCACTTCCTTTTAATCTTATTTTTATTGCATTTTTAGTACCAGGGGGCTAGATTGTGGTGGTTAAGTCTAGAGGTTGGGACGATCTGGCATTAGCTATCATTACCCTTCAGGCCTAAGTGTCCGTGTACCCACACAACAACCACTGTTTTGCAAAGACGCTCCAGTTTGTAACATCTCTCCAACAAGAGCACAATGAGAGGGTCGACAGAGGGCCTGTCAAGAACAGCAGTATCTGTGATAAGAGAGTCAGTGCAGACAAGGTAAGCAAAGTAATCACTGTATCAATACTAGTTGAAAACTATAGAAGTTATATTGTGAGTCTATGTGTGATTATAGTCCACCTAACCACTGTGCTCGTCAGCAAAATGAGGATAGGTTGACATCAGTAATATAAAAGAATTTTATGTTAATTTAGATTTGGATAAGAAAAACAAAAAACTATCAATAATAGATAAAGCCTTGAATAAACCATTTCTTCAAAAGTGTATAAAAATACCTTGATTTGGTTTCAACGATATGATCATCAGTCGGTCCACCTGCTTCCAGTATTTCTTCTATATGGTGAAGATCCCATAAGACTGCAAAGTAGCATGCTGATATTGAATACTTCACAGCCTAGATGGAGGACAAGGGAAATGATTAAAAATCACAAGCTACAAAGGGGAAACAATTGCATATATTAATACTTACTTCTTCCGGCAGAGAAGTCACCCCATCTTTGGCTTCTTCGACATCTTTGAACAAGGAAGACCATATCGACCAGTTGCCAAGGTTGTGGCAGGAGTAGAATATCGATACTTTCTTTAAACTATTTACAACGTTGTAAGTCTCATCGTCATCAGGTGTTTCCTCCTAAAATTATTTGACTTTCTCAATTATGACTAGAAATTTAGAAAAAATAAAAATAAAAACTAACCCCTTCAATGAGCGAATTCCATTCATCCATGGCTTCTTTATACTTATTTACAACCGAATCTATCAATGTGCTCCTTTGAACGTCACATCTTGTATATATAGCAAATCCTTCCGAGCATAAAAATTCAAGTGTTTTAGCACATGTTTCAAGAACATCTGTATCATGATGTTTTTCCGTGATTGTTTGAATTTTTTTAAGTAATAGATCTAAACTCTAGAAGAAGAAAAAAATGCAATCAGTTATAATTCAATTACTGCAAATTAAAAATGCCTTACAGCTTCTTGTCTTGAAGATGTGTAAATTTCAAGATCGAAATGCTGTGGTATGCTTAAAAGATTCGTCAATTTGTCTGGATCAGCACTGAACTTGTCCAAAAGCTGTGGTAGCACAGCAATAAAATGCTCTGTTAATTTTTGTTTGTCATCTTGCACTTGCTTTAATTCTTTTATTGATGGCATCTAAAAATTTTCATTGTCATCCCACTTAATCATTATTTTCTTTATTTTTCCTAGACTACCTTTCTATTAGGCCCTCTACCAACAGGTGCATCACCCGTCGATGCTTGTTTTACGCAGCAAACCATTATTTCAATTAACGAAGTCTCTTGACGATCATCTAAAGGCTCTTCGTTAGGGCCAGGTTCTTCAATGAGCAAATCAGTCATGCATTCCCAGTCCTTCATCATAGCGTTACTTTCTATGAGCGAATCCACCAGGTAAGCGCCATGCTCGTGCAGCTAAAATCCACATTTTTCAAAACTGCTGTATGACTAAATTAATTTCTTTACCTCTGATTCGATGAAAAACTGAACAAGATCTCTAATCAATGGAGTATTCGGCAATCTTTTCTTTCCCCTTTTGGTCCTTTGCACTGAAGCAACCTCTTCTGGAACGAACAGCCTCTCGTTTAAGAACTCACCGGCGGCTTGTGCAACAGCTCGGTGCGACGAGTAAACAAGTTCGTAAACATGCTCGCAGTCCTTATCAGTAAGAATATCTCTGTGGTGTCTGCAAAGAATTTTTTTTTTTTTGTTATTTTGTTTGCTGTTACTGAAATTTTATATATTTACTTGAGAATGCTGATAACAAGGCGAACTGCCTGGACAGCCACATCATACTCTTTGTCAAGCGTCATGGAAACTATCCTGTCTTTGAACTTGCTTGTAAATAGCTCAAGCTTTCCCTTAAGTTCTTCTGATGCGTATAATGGTTGTAGAGCCTAAAAACAGATTTTTTTACTAATTCATCTGTAAGTTCAATTTTTTAAGTTATTTTATTTATTGCTATCTGTACAAAATAAATATACTTTGAGCAAATAGTATAGATAATTTAATATATAATAATTAAATTCATATATAATATGAATCATATATAATATGAATCATATATTATATTCATACATATAATAATTATATTTAAAGCTGATAGATCTGTCACACCAGAGGCAGTGGGGAGAGAAACTAGGTTGCTGCTATGTTGGAACTCTTGATTAGTTGGGAGGCATCATAGTTGATGGCATGAAGAATTATAAGGGTGGGATGTTGATGAAAGAGTTTGGGCTAGTGGGTTAAGGTGGAGGGATAATTTACAGAAAGGACCAGATCCTTCACAAATGGATTTTTTATGGACAATTTGATTGTAAATTTAATGATGGTAGCATTGCAGTTATGACAGAGAACTTAGGCTTGAAAGATTTGGATTTGTTAGATATTGAAAGATTTGATCGTGTTCAACTCTGTAAGTACAAATCTGTCTGATGAGTGTTATTTTAATTTATAAGCAGTTATTTTATGTATGCTAAGGTTGATTTGGGTCCCAGTAGGTGCCTAAGCAGTCCATATCTTTTGTTCAAAAGCTGATCATAAACTCATCACCATTCTAATTGATTCTTAATAAAGTAAAAGTAGTAAAGTTGTATGAATCAGGGCTCCACAAAATTGAGTATATCTGTAACTCTAGTATAGTTGCCAGTTTTCCATGAAAAAAATTCACCTGAAAACATTTACATATAGGATTACACAAATACGTTTTTTGTTTTTTTTTTGGGGGGGGGGTTACACTGGCATATTACCCATGAAGTTTTCTATTTTAATTTTACTGTCGAGCGTGATCGGCTGACCAGAGCCAGGTCCCCGCCGCGCACCCGCACCACTCATTCAGCTCCATCATCTTCTCAATTTTCATGGTTGAAGATAATCAAAAAGAAACGTTTATCGACTTCAGAAATCCATAGATTATGTTGAAAGCTGATGGATTGTTGCTTATTAGGACAGATTCTAAGTTTATTGGTTTGGAAATGTTTGGGACTTTGCTCAGATTTTTTAGCAGTTTGTCTCTTTCATTTTCATATTCTGGACATTCAAAAATTATGTGGGAAGGATTTGAAGGGCAATCGCAAGTGGGACAGGTCGGAGACGATGCCAAACCAATTCTCTTCTTGTAGCTACCCCATAGGCCACAAATACGAGTTAGACACCCTAATCACTTGTCTAACGCAGTCCCCTAATTAAAACTTAATGTCTGATATATTCTAAAGATTGTATGGATGATCAATTAAATGGTCCACTTTTGACTATAATTGAGAGCTTTTAATTTTTTAACATCTACATACCTTTAACAACAGGTATTAAACACACAAAAATAAAAGTTTGCTAAAGTATCTGTAAATATACTGTGAAATCAAATTGGCAAAAAAATGTTCACAATTTAAGGGTTGAAAAATGATGGAGTGAGTGTGGTGTTCAGTACTTTTTAAAAGGATAGTTCCTACTCACAGTAAGTTGTTTTGCAACGATCCGGATTTCGAGCCTTTTAGCTCATCATCAGGTTGAAGGACTTCTACAACCTGATGATGAGCTAAAAGGTTCAAAATCTGGATCGTTGCAAAACAACTTACTGTGAGTAGGAACTATCCTTTTAAAAAGTATTTAAGGGTTGTCGCATACTTGTAGCAGCCCTCATTGGCTCAAGGCCGCCTCCCAACAAATGGGTGACTCAAGAGCTCTCTTTTTGACTAGTCTTGGAGGACGGACCAGCGTTTTGAAATCTTGAATAATTTGCTTCTTTTTTTGGTTTTATGTGTAAGCGGTAGTGAGATTTTTTTTTATAATTTATATTCTGAAGTTTATATTTTCTTTTTAATAAAAATTATTTTGTTATGTGCCAACATGCATCTATTTTCTTTTTAGCCTTTTGCTCATTTTGCCAAGCTTTCCTTCAACACCCCCTATTTAAATTAAGTTTTGGGAAACCAAAGAATCCCCGTTATAGTGTTGATGTTTTTATTATAACAAGACAATGAGATGGATAAGAAAAAAAATTTTTCACAACAGGGGGTAAAGGGGGTCTGCTTGAAACGAGGGAGCCTACTAGAAAGCTGGGTGACAACAGTGGAAGGTCGAAAATGCCCAGGCGTTAAAAGAAGCAGAGGACAGGACAGCAAGGTGAGCAGCTCAAGCAACAATCGAAAGGAGAGGGGCTGGCTGGCGAGTACAGGCAAGGAATGGGGAGGACACGAGTTTGTGCAAGGAAAAAAATCATTTTACGGACTATCTGAATGATTTTTTGTCAAGTCACAAGACTCCAGAGGACCTCGAGTGAGTCCGAGAAAACTAGAGAGATCGCCAAGGAGCTACAGAGGATCCTGAGCATCGAATGCGATGGTGAAAATCAGACCAAACATTTATTTAGTGTTTTTTTTTATAAGTGAAGTTTTGTTTAATTTAGCAAGTTATTTGTATTAGTACTATTATTATTATGTGAATTGGCCAAAAGAGATTTAAGTTAACACTAGTTTCTGCTTATTTTATTTTGCCTCTTGAATTTTCATTCAAGTCTTATCATTTTGGTGTTACCAACCAGACTGGCTATTTCATAGGAACATATTTTTATTAGTATTGTTACATGGATATTTATTAGTAACCCAAACTTCTTCACTGGTTACCAGCACCCTAAACTTGGGTTGGTTGCCACAGAGCCTGTGACACTATATTCAAAAAATGTTTTTTTAAATAATACTCGATTAACAATAATTTTTTCTCCTACCTGCAGGCACTTTAATCGGACTTCTCCGATTTTGTCATGAAGGGTCCAACCTATATATTTGAGATAAGAGTCATCCAGGAAATTCTGATGAAATTTCTTCATCCATACGCCTATTTCGGCCATACAAATGGCTCTTATTTCAGGTAAAGTATCCCTGGAAAGAAATTAAATACAACTGAGATAAATTATTAACAAAAATTAATTCCAACTATCATTAAACTGAACTAAATTGCTATATATATTATAAATTCTATAGTGCACAGAATTTTAGTACCAAATTAAAAAACAACCAACCTAGATTGTAGTCTAGTCAAGAAAAAGTGTAAGGATTTCTGTTAACTATTAGGACAAGTAAGATTCCAATCTTACCTATATCTATGAACAAAAACTGACTTGAACATGTAAGTTAACATGTTCTTGATTTCATCCATGTTCTCTTCCAACTCTTGACGTTTGATTAAAAGTGACTCCAAACGATCACTTGCACGCTTGTCTCTAGCTTTCTGCCTTTCTGATTCATACTGACGCTGAGTATTATCCAAATTTATCGATACTACAAGTGCAACATCGACGAGTGCTGTCATTAGTTTCATTGCTGAAATAAGTCAGTATTCAATTAGCAAATTTTCTTTTTAACTGCATTAATTTAAAAAACTTACCAGCAAGTGTAGCCGTGTGTCTAAAAGCTCTTACTTGAGAATCGGAAAGACCCGTCAGAAGGGAAATTATATTGTCCATGAGATACTGATCGTATATTATTGAATATTGGCACTGTTTCACCAACTGGGCAACAAAGTCGCAGAAATTTGTTCGGAATTTTTTCCAAAGTTGGCCGGACATTATAAGAGGGTACTCTCCACTCTCTTCATCGAACTCTTCAGTCATCTTCCTGATTATAGCTGCATGCTCCATGTTTGTGGCCATTGCTTGCGTTATTTTACCTTTACACCCAGAGGCGTTTATAAAAAACTGCATGAGGGCGAGCAATGCAGAATCACGGTTCACTTTGTAAGCTTCAATCCAATCGTCAACAACAACCTAAAAAACAATATTTCTTTTGTGTAAATTATACGCGATGGGATACAATCCAATTAATTACCTGAAGAGTCATACGAGCTTGCTTAATAATCTGATATAAAGTGCTATCTTCGTCATTTTCATTGTAATTTTTACGATGAGGCCCTCGTTTCGGCCTACCCACTCTTCCATCCTCGCCAGCTAATTTTTTCGGAGTCGTTGTAACAACAGGAGGAGGCGGTGGTTGATTCGCATCTAAATTTTCCGATTAATTTCATGTCAAAAATTGTCAAAAGAGAAAACCTTACTTCTGAGACGAGATCTTGTAATGCGACCGCTGATGGGGGCTGGTGAGTCTTCAAACACTCCATGACTGTCAGTAGGCTCATAAGTTGTATCTTCATCGCCACCACTACTATTAGGGGCGTCATAGCTAGGATGGCTCAGAGGTGTTTGGTGTCCACTTTCATAGTTGTCATTATACAAGTCATTCATCCTAAATGAAACAGAACTATTGTAAAGTCAATGTTACAAAAGTTATGTTATTACGATTTACCTGTTATGAACAGGTGTGCCAGGATCATTGTTATATCCTAAATATGGCGTGTAGCTTTCACCGATATCATGCGGTTCACCAGGGGTCATAGGAGTCATTGGATTTGTCGTATCATATTCAGGAGGTGGTGGTTCATCCATCCGGATCCTCTTACCAATACTTCTGTGCATCATCTTGCTGCTGTAACAATATATTTTTTTAAATATGTTCCTTCAATCAAATTATTAAAAAAAGAGGTCTACATCATTTGCCTGGCATAACAACTTTCAAAAATGTGACTTCAGTGTCATGTAGTCCAGGGTTAGAACACCAACTTAGCACACCAACTTAGCAATTTACATTATCTGAAGCCTCAATACTTACAAAAATTGTTAAAATTTAACACACTCTAAAAATAAAAACAAAAATAGAAGGAAAGGAAAAGCACTAATAAGCAAATATTTTCAAAAATAGTTTCAGAAATAGTTTCATAAGAATATTCTTTCTGCCTGATTCAAGTTTATTTAGGTATTAGGAAATGTGAGATGTTACAAAAGAAACGGGCTTCTTTCACAATTAATACTATAGCAGCAATACTACAGCATGATTCCACAATCATTTGTATTTTATGCCAAAAGCATTTTTCTATTCAATTTGGGGGGACAATTAAAAAATGTAAACAATCATCAAAACTACTGCGACTGACTTTGAGAAGTGTGGGGCCACTAAGTATATAGGCAATTGATATCAAGCAAATCCAGACATGCAAGATTCACCGAATGCCAAGCAAAGGCTCACTGAATCCCTACTAGTGAGGATGCGTGATCAGTTATTCACCGAGCGACAATATTCGGTGCTCGCCTTGCTCAGCTAATAGTCGGTATTTTTGTCCACTTCAAAGTGCACAAATATTCATGAAGCAGCTGAACACAAAGCATCCACTCATTCAGGAATCACTGTACTGTACGGATATCAACTTTAATCATCATTCAACAGTAAGTTTATACTTATATTTACTGATATTTATTTTTCAATAATAAACTATTCCTAACTAGTATAGATTTATTAATGAAAGAACAACATAATATTGTTTCTGTTAGTTAGAAATGGAATGGCGTCTTGGGGTCAGTTTCCTTGTCCGTTTCAAACTGCACAAATATTCGTGAAGTAACCAAACTCAAAGCATCCATATACCCATACCCAGGAACTGTACTACTACTATACTATCAACGAAAATCATCAATCAACAATAGTTTACACTTATATTTACTCCTATTTATTTTTCAATGAGCAACTATTCATAAGTAGTTTCTATGTTTTGTATTAATAAAGAACAACACAGTATTGTTTCTGTCGATTAGGAATGGACGTAAGAACTTGGAATTCCTCAATCTCAAGCTGAACCAATAATTTGGAACGCTTTCTTCCGAATAAAAAAACAAAAAATCAGAATGAGGTTTTCCACATGTGGAAATGGATCATAAGTAAGATGGGGCAACAGTACTCTGTGACTGAGATTGTAGCCCCTACACAAAACAGTAACCACAACTGCAGCAATGACAGTTCACTGTTGTCCATCACGATTGGTAGTAAGTTGAGGACTTGCACGGCACTTGGCAAATAGATATTAACTGTTCAAATCTATTTGTGAATACATAAGCATTCTATTGACAAATGCCAAGACGGACATTTCAACACTTGGCAAAGTACAGCAGCATTCGGCGAATACCGCATGTCTGGAGCCACCTTAGGGTAACTAGGTGCCAAGTGAGACACAAGTTTAGAAAGAAACCCATCCAACAAATCTAAACACTCACAATTAATACTTTGCACCCAGTATTTGTATTTCGAAGAAATGTTTCATGTCAAAAGCATTTTTCTATTCAGTTTCAAGAGAGGCATTTCAATGATGTGAACTATTAATACAAATGCGGCGACTGGGTTTGATGCTTTAGTGTGACCACTAAGCATCTAGGCACTTGGTACCAGTCATATGGTAAAATTAGTGCCAAGTGAGACACCTCCAGCATGGCCTTAGGGTGAAGATGGACAGAAGCATAAACACATCTACCAGACCAAAATAATCCAAAACTACCAAATCAAACTTTTAATTAATGGCATACCTCGAATTTATTTCTAACATTATTAAAAAATTTAGAACATAATTAAAAATTATTGATACAGGATCAATATATCTACTATTTTAAAAGAGTAGATATTTTAATTTTGTCCGAATGTATTTAAACAAAGTTATTATATATGTATCTACTTACCTCTTATTAATTAATTGAGCGCAGTGTTTTTAAATTAATTATCCACCTTTCTTACGAAGCCGTTTGATAACCTAGTAATAATCGTTAATTAATCCATCGTAAAGAAACTGTTCCATTTCTTGAAATCCAGTATAAAATCATTCTCAATTTTTATTAAGTCTGTAAAAACTGTGATTACAATAAGTTCTTTTAATAAACAAAAACAAATTGTCGAACGCTGTGGATTTGTCAACAAACAAGCCGAACTGAGGCAAGTTAACAGGAATTGTAAAGTAGGGAGTAAGTATCGATACGCTATACATACATCATAGTAAGTATACTTGAAGCTGGTATACTATTGTTAATTTTTTGGCATAATTATATTTTTATTTATTGATTTTCCTCTGACTGACGAACCTTTAAGCTTTATTATTTTATTTTTAGATTCTGATGGATTTAGACTTGAAAAGTTTATTTTATCGATTTATCGATGTTTCAGTCGGTGAAAGTACAGTAGAAATGCAGACTCCATACACTTGGCGGCCGAGTACGAACAACTGACAACTCCGCCTAGGAATTTATTAATAATAATTTAATATTTACAAATAGACAATATTGTCCTGGAAGAGAAATGGACAATAAGAAGGAAACGAAAGAAATTAAAAGCACACGTTCTTATTTTAAAAGATTCCGAGATATTTAATTTTTGTGAAAATTTTATGTAAATTTGATAGAACACACATTATTACAAAAGTGAAATGATTTATTTATTTTACGTTTTCCCAATAACAAATGTATACACCAAAAATACAAATGTTAGATATATGTATTAATCGGGGTGTGTATTACACTGCGCCTTTTAAGAACTACTGTATCCCCCGTTCTGTGCCAATAGCACACCGTTTGAACATAGCGCTTTGACTGTTGCTTGGCTAAATAAACAAGTTATAACTATAAATAAATTCAAAAAATTTGCTTAAATTACTTAAACTGACAATAAATATACCTATATTTCGACCGAGTTTAAATGTGTTATAACTTATTGTTCTTGGTGTAAAACGGATTTAGGCATAATTAGTTCTATGCCAATCAATTGAGAATGCTATTTGACTTCTGGAATGATAAGATGGAACATGAAAGATAATTCGGTTAAGTAACGGGCAATCAAGGAATGTAATAATTTATATAATAATATGCAATAAAAAAAATCCTCCTCCTTTATCGAACAGTCGTCAATTTCAGATCCCACTATACTATAGTATTGTTACATCTTCCATTTTATATAACTAACCCAATTGGAGTTTTAAATATTCTACCATCTATACATTCATGCTAATAAATACATTCAGCCTAACAATCAATATACACGCAAAGAAACAGAAAACAAAAAAATTGAATTTTTAACTGTTTTGTCCATGGCGCTTGTGTATAAAAGGAAAGTGAGTAAAAGATTCAAGAATTTTGTTCTCTTCAAAAAATCTGTATAAATAAAAAAATATTACATATGTCAGGAATGACACTGAAATATAATGATATAGGAATGATGATAATAGTGGCATTGACATTGTTTTAAACTTTAAAGTCGGATGAACCGTTTTGAAACCTCGCCGTGATACTACTGTTAACGAACGAGTTCCAAGTGAAATTCTGTGAAAAATGCTGAGATCCGGTTTCACTCGGCTTGTCCGGCCCGGCTTTCTCACCTCAGCCCCTGTCCAGAGGTATTTTTCAAAAAAACCCGACATAGGAAACATGGTGAAAAGTAATAAAGTCGTCGTCTTCATGAAAGGAGTCCCGGATGAGCCGAAATGCGGCTTCAGCAACGTCGTCGTGCAGATCATGAAGATGCACGGGGTCAACTATGATGCTCATGATGTCCTCGCAGACGACACCATCAGAAACGGTAATCACTGGTGGCTTTTTAAATAATTTAACCATCAGGAATGAACTCTGTACTCCCAGCTATCATCCTGAATTTTTTTTTCTTTCTGTAAGGACATCGTAAAAGAGGTCAGGACGTCAATCACTAAATGAGTACCACTCTCTTCAAACTTAGTAGATGTAGATGTATTAGTCGGAGTGTAATATAATGCGCCCTTTAAGTGCTATTGTATCCCCCGTTATGTTTCTATAGCACACCAGTGTCCTATTTCTTCAAGGAACTTGATTAGTAGATTTTCAGTGGTTGAATTTCTTCTAGTCACACTGTATATCCCTAAACCATCCTCCTGCAGGCAGTTTGTTAATAGGTGTGTTGGTGTCTCCTCTGCCGCTTTGCAGAATCTGCATGTGCTCTCTTGGATTTACCAATTTTCTTTAAATGTCCATTTAGTTTGCATAACGGAAGGGTCAGTGGCTTTACATTTTATATGAAGTTGTCACATTTAGCTGGAACTGACAAAAACATCAAGCCTGGCATTTCCGTCAGACGTTTTGTCACTGTGGAGTGCCAGCAAAATGCCCGGACCGGCATAATGTGAATGAGCTCGCGCTGATATCAACACATCAAGTCATTTCTGTAGGGCAGATGGATGTACGTATGTATTATGAAATCAAGCGCAGAAACTTTAATTCCGCTTTTATCCCCTGTACTATGGGATAAAACCCTAGATGAATACAAACAAAAACATCAAAAGAGGATTCTGTCATTCGAAAATAATTGAAGAACTTTGTTTCGTCACTTCTCAGTTCACCCATTAATGTTTCAAATGCTCCCAGTAAAATAGGATGTACTCACTGTTTTATTTTTACTCTATGTCGTATAAAATACTACCACAACTCAACAATTTTGTCATCCATTGTGCACCAAAACCGCAGGTCCAGCTTAGTGGGAACAAGGCAGTTTGTTCCTTCTTCCTTTAATACATTCCTCTTTCCTTCCGAAGTTTGTTAGGAGGCTCTAGAATTGTTTATGTCCTTGTGTGAGTTCCATTGTTCCCTCATTTTTCTTTTTATCCTTCTGTCTGATGTGCTCATTGATAATGTGCGTTCCTATGCCACAGGAGGGCTCGGGTCTTGTCAGCGGTTTAGCAGGGGCTGACTTTTTTTTTTTTTTTTTTTTTTTTTTTTTTTGCTTTCTTTGGGAAAAAAAAATTTTTTTTGTGTAAATTTTTTAAAGTTTGGTTTTGCAATTCAGCACTATCTTTGAGCTAATGGTCTTTGAACTTAGTGCTTTGATGGCTGCTTGGCTATCTAACATGATAGTTATGTTCTTTTTTCTGTATCCTTTATTCAAGTTGAATTGAGTACATCGCTGTTCTTGATTCCTGCAAATGACTGTCCGACAAGGTATTCAAGGAGGTGGCACTTGATTTATTCAAGCTGATTCTCAAGCTTGCACTTGATACGCATCTCCTTGGCTAAGATGCTATGTTGATAAGGCCATAAAAAAGTTTGTGAAATGACCAAACTACACCCCAAAAGTGCAATGAAGAAATCAAACAAAAACACTGAGAAGCCCAAACACAAGATTATTTATTAAAAAGAGAACTTTATGGAAGATCTGGTATTATAAGATAAGGCTTACATAGTTATAGTCATCCACATATAAAACTGGGTAAAAACACTAATATTATTATAAATTACAGAACAGGGATATAATAAGCTCTTAATGAGTTTTTACTGAAGGTATTCAGAGTTTATGAACTGCTAAAAACTTTACAACACATTTATTGTTTCTAATTTATGAAAATTGTACACATATTATTATGTTGAAAATGTACAAATATGAATCACCTTTTCAGTATCTCATTTATGACATTTTCTCTGTTTTGCAGCTGTGAAGGAGTACTCTAACTGGCCGACTATCCCTCAAGTTTTCATCAATGGTGAATTCGTTGGCGGCTGTGATATATTAATGCAGATGCACAAAAATGGCGATTTAATAGAGGAACTCCAAAAAGTGGGTATAAAGTCAGACCTTCTGAAAGCAGAAGAGGAAAAAAAATAATTGATCATGTCTCATTTTTTCCACCGAATTTTGTTTTAAGTTATTGTAAATATAATTAGTAATAAGAGTTAATAATGTATATTTTTAAAATATAAATTGTTTAATGTTTTACGGTCTTTTATTTTTTCTTTTATTTACCTATTATCTTAATTTGTTTTATCATTATGTTTCATTATTTAAATAGTTAATTCACATATATTTATTGATTGTAAACAAGTATAAGGTTATAAAATGTTTCCTTTGATTCGGAAGAGACAAAACTTAAAAAAAAATTAATTATTAATTTACTGTATTAAATAAAAATTGTTGAAAAAATAAAAATGCCTGATTATGATGATATCACTGAAATCTTATCAATAAAACCATTTGTTCTACAAAATAATCCTTTCACTCCTACATCGTTATAAAAATAGCATCATTTTTTCCCCATTTGTTTCTCTGTTTTGATATTTCATGTCCAGAGGATTCGTTTGATCTAGTTTATTTAGAGATCATGAGATGCAGAGTGTGACATCTCACGATCTCCAAATAATCATTAATTAAATACCACACATTTGATCTTGTTCTATCATTTATTTTTTCATCATATCATCATTTTATCTTATCTTCTATCTTTTAAGTTTTACAAGTAAGGTCTGGAACTACACAGAGGCAAAAAGTGGCCACCCTTAATATCAAATTGTATTTTGTTGAAGTTGTGAGGAGCAGTCAAAAATGAGATAGTTTAGAAAACCATCTTTTTCATTTTTTTGCCGATGTTTTGACTTTTATTTTTATGTGGTGTCTTATTGGTTTTGTGTGAAAGTGTTGTGATTATATTTTAGACAATCCTCTTTTGATCTTCTAACAAGGGTCCGTTTTAAAAGATGAGAAGTAAATTAAACAGATAAAATCTCCAACTTGTGTTGAAAATTGGATTTTGTACATAAAATTTTGAATAATCAATTTCTTCTTTGTTGGCTTAAATATAAAGCTTTCTAACGCTCCATAGCATTGTTGGAAGCTGGAAGAAGTCAAGTTTATGTGGCCAGGGTTCAACATTAACAGAACAACTGTCCAAAGGGTCTTCCATCCCTACCAACATACTGGTGGTTACTCAAAAAGGCATAAATCAGGTCGCCATCGTAACATTTCAGAGAGATGATCATTTTATAGTCTCGAATGTACTCCGTAATTGACATTCTATTGCTGTTGAGATCAAGCAAGGACTTCAACAAGACAAATATTTTACATAGTGCAGTTTGGATGGCCCTGGTGTCTCCACAAGGTTTCAGGTTCGGCCTAAACCTATTTCCTAACAAAAATTATTCCTAATTTTGATATACTAGTTTTTTTCTAGAATTCAGGCTAAATCTAATTCCTGACAGAATGGCTTATTTGACAAGCAAAAAGTCAAAATTTTCACACCCCGGCATTATTTCTGTTTTAGATTGCTGGTATGTTCATCCAGCCTAACCTATTCTACAGTTTCATCATGAACCATTACCAAATATTAATTGGTCTTGTGTTAAGGTAAACCTGACTAATTCTGCCAAAAGAGCTTGATTCGTCAAGCAAAACATCAAAATTTTGACTTAGAAGTTTTTCTCTGTCAAAATACCCATCCGACCTAACTTATTCTTAAGTTTCGTAGAATAGTATTGACAAAAATAAATTAGTGTTCAGGCTAAAGCTGAGTAATTCCTGACAAAATGGTTTGATTTGACAAGCAGAATAATCCAAATTTTGGCAAGTCCTGATGAATTAAAAAGTTTCGTCAAACCAGTATTGACAATTGCTTGATTTTGCAAACTTAAAATTGCTTCATTACAAACAAAATAGGTTAGTGGACAAGCAACAAATGTATTGATTTCATATAATTTCAAACATTTGTTGATTTTATGTAAATTATTTACAAAGATTTATGAAGGTCAAATTAAGGTAATATGCTCAAAATGATTATACAAAAAAAAAAAATTAACAGTGTACAATTACAAAAACTAAACAGCTTCAAATTTCCATTGAGATAGAAATTCCCATTCTTCGTAATTCAGAAATGAACAAGCTGCAGATCCAGTTTTCCTTATTTGTTCATTTCTTCACTAGAGTAAAAGTTACAACAGATTTTTGTTTTATCGTCCAATTTTTAGATTAATATCACATTTTTATTAGAAGGTCAGGATTAGGTTGTTGATTAACAAAGTTGTTACAATTTAATGCAGAGTTATTTTGGTTTGCTTACAAGCTAATCCTTATCCTGCCCTGGTGTGTTGCTATAGTTATTCTGTGCATGAAGTAGAAAAAGGAAATTATTATTAATAAGTCTAATTTTATGTTCAAATTTTATTATATAGTTAGCTATTTACAACACATAGTTATGAATATGTTTTAATATCACGTAAAATACACAAGTTTTTTCCAATTTTTATCATATCTTTTTATAAATCAACATAGACAAGCAATCATAATATATACATATACTTATGTTTTTTTTTTATTAAATAGCATTTTACTTTCTATATTTGATTAAAACTACTATTATCTTTTCAGATAGAAGAGAAATTGAAACATTATTTCTAACTGACATTCAATAATAATGTTTTTTTCTTATTTATATTTAATGATACATTCATTTGAAGGAGAATCGATAATACAAATAATTTTACAAATTTTATCGTGAAGGAGAAAAGTTTGTGTTCTATTTTCATTTTGCATTGAATAATCGCATTTGAATCACAAGTTATTTACATATTTAAATTTATATTATCAATAAAATCAATACAGCACTTAACTCACATTTAAAAAAAAATTCTTAATTATTTCCAGCTGCAATTTATTCAACTGTAATTCAATAGGAATTATAATCAATATTTATCAGTCACAGGTCACAAAAAATTTGATTGTTAATTATGATACCAATAAGTTTTAAGAAAGATTTTTATGAACAAAATTTCAATTTGACAATACAAATTTTTTATAAGTGAAGCATGTTTATAAACAAAGAAAGAAGCAAATTAAATCTTGTAAAACATTTATTTAATTTGTGAGGAAATTTGTTTAAATATTTAATCTTCCCTTGAAAATAAAATAGTTAATTTTTAATTCATGGCATTCAGTTGGATTGCTTCAATTTTCAGTTGCTGTTCTTTTACACTTTGAATGTTAAGTCAGACCAACTGGGTGCTGAAAGCCAGAAAATAAAATCCAACTTTGCAAGTATTGATCTTTTCATCACAAGCTCTATTTATATGAAGTTATAAACACTTCAAAATTTCTAAATACTTAAGAAGTATGCAATTTTCAAAATTTCTGACTTGGAATTTGTCGTGATCTACCAAAAGTATATTTAAATAATGTAAATAATTTATTTTAAAAAAAATTTGCATTCCTCCCTGGACTGAGAAGTAAAACAAAATTGCAAACTTTTGTCAATTTTTTTTTTTAAAGCAGCAATACATGGCCAGTAATGTAGTCCTTCCATTCTTCGCGTTACACTTGTAATGTATGTACAAAGTTAAAAATACTTTCAAATACCTCACAAAATGTTTATTGACTAGGATTATTATTTACATTTTAAGACAAACTAAAAATAACATGGTAACAAAAAGAAATGGCTATCGTAAAAAGAAATAACCTTTGCAAAACCGAACTAGTCAATTTACCAAAGTTTCACCACCTGGTGAATTCGTTGTGTGTAACGATTTGAAAACAACAAAGAAAACCGTTTGATTAGCAAAAAACAGGAACAATTTCTCCTTGGCAATGGAATAAATATATTTACAAATAAAGCACGGTCTGAAACAATAAAAACGCGAAAACGCAATCACGAACAGAAACTTTTCAAAAGGATTTCCCCAACATTGCTTAAAAACTAAACCTTTTCAAATTTGAAACTATTATTGTAATAAAAAAACATGCTATATTTGTTGTAAGTTCAAAATATTTTCCCATTTAATTTGTTTTTTACATATGTCCGCTCATAACATTTGTTTTGTTAAAAAAACAATTAATTAAAAAAATAATTTAACGTGCTTTACAATATAGACAACTAACATTTATTATAGGGTGTTGATTTGATTAAATAAATTCAAACAAGATCAAAAGTTATTATGTTTTCTAGGCTAAAATCTGTATATTTATCAGTAAATATCAGGAACCGGCGATTCTTTGTTTATATATTGGTTTATGTAAAACACATTCTTATCCATATAAGTCATAAAAATTATTCTTAATCTGGAATGGTCTTAATTTGAAGACCCATTTTTAGATGAACGATCTGATGCCAAGCAACAACACTACGTCTGGTACTGTAGCATGGGGGCAGCTAGATTTGGATGGTGTGTTGTGTTCATACGAAGAGCTGATAAACTCTTGTTGTACCATTCGTCATCTGCAGTCATTCCTGAAAATAAGAATATGTTATAATGAAATAAGAATATGTTTTTCTAGCAATTGAAAATTATTATTTAAAAAAAATATACATATACAACATGATTGTTAGCATATTTTACACTATGAACACTCAATTTATTCAGTAAGATTTTAGTGTTTACTGTTAGTTATACAAATAAAACAATTAAAAAATTGATTGATTTCCTTCAAATTGGCCATCACATACTATGAAATGAGTTAGAACCAATTATTTGTTCACTAAGGTTATGTGTTTCCAACAAGAAAACAAGACTGATGATGAGAGGCTGATACCCCCAAAATCGATATTAAAAAAAAAGAAAATGTGTTTGATGGTTGGTAGTTCCTGAAAAGAAACCCAAGAAATATAAAAGTCAACAACCAGAAAATAAAAATAAAATATTTGTTTGTTTAAAATTCATACATTTACACTGACGTCGATGACCAGTTGGGTTCAGATTGGCCATTAATAGCTATTGATCCATCACTACTAAAATGAGCTTCATTGGGTAATTATACATTTGTCATAAAACCCCATTTTACTTTTGCATTCTGTCCTCAAAACTCTGACCTTTTGCATTTATCTTTAGTGTAGATATGGTAGGAAAGAAAATGAGATTGCTTCAGGTTTTTGTATACTCGTCAGGATAATATAACAATCTTCATCGATATTTGTTTAATGCTATTATGGGACTTCATGATAACAATCCTCCAATTGCTTTTTCTTCCCTATCAAATTTCACTCCTTGGCTTTAGCAACCAGGAGAAAGTGTCTTGCAGAAAGGATGACGGTTTCTGTGTGGATAGTTCTTGGGACCTGGCAGGTTCACACGAATTTCCTTTACATTCACTTATAATTAATACAGCATATACCCACAGCAATAGTTGAATTTCTTCTACGGTTTCATTGTACAAAAAATGTTTTTCCCTGCTTCCTTTGATGCATTATGTTGTTTCTTTCCTTCTGAAACTCGCTAGGGGATTCTTGGATTGTCTGTGTCCAATGAGTGAATTCTACTTTTTCCTCATTTTCATTCTGCTATTTTGTGTAAGATACGCATTGATAGTGTGATTGCCTATGCCACAAATGGTGCAGGACCTATCAGCAGTGTAGCATCAATTTATTTCGCAAAGACATCTGATTTTCTGTTTTCTCCTGTGTCCTGGGATCTAGATTGTAACTTTATTTTGCATACCTAATTTATTTAATTTAGTTTTGCAATTCAGCACCATCTTTGAGCTAATGTTTGCAGTTAGTGCTATTATGGCTGACTGGCTATCTGACGTGATGGTTCGTACCAATGGTTTTGTTTTTTGTACCGTTTGTGAACTTCAGCCTGTAACACTGGACATCAGGGAAAACACATTTCCGAATCCAGCCCAGATATGTTTACATCTTTATTACAATAAAAATAAAAATATAAATGTGTTAAAAGATGCTTAAAACCGATCTGATTGTTTGCAAAAAATAAATTGTTTGACGTTACCAGTCTTTTAGTTTTTGAAACTTGTTATATACCTATTTAATCTCATTTAACACGATCCTGCTTGTTATTTTCTTGTATAGTTTTGCTGGGAGTTGGTCTGCGAGTCAGTGAACTCATGCTGAACTAGCACTGGATCACTTATTGGGTCCGACTTATCAGGTTCAGGGCATCAGCAGGACAACATTTATAACTTGTTGTTTACCTTAACCGGGATCACCAAATTTTATGTTTTTATCTAATTAGGGCAAATAAATTGAGTAAAATTAAAGTTTTCTGAAAGTTATCACTTGGGTTTATACCCACAAAGACAAGAAAAACTGAACACTTGTATTTATTTGTTTATTTTCCATAATAACTAGGCATAAAGATTAATAATTAGCTTAAAACATAAACAGAACATAGTTGATGTTGGGATTGGTGTGGGAGTTAGTGAATGCTACTTATTGGGTCCATCTCAACCCGCGAGTAAAAACGGACCCAATAAGTGACCTAGTGCCAGTTCTTGTTCCTGTTTACCTTTATTACTAATCCTTTTACACCCTTTAGATTAAAAATAAAGAAAATTAGTTCAATTTCATCCTTTCAGGGCCAACTTGTCGAGTGAATCAATTGGTTTTATAAACTGTTTTCTTTGATGAAACAATAAATTGGAGTAAAAAATTAATTATTATCTCCATTATATTTCGTGGTTCGATTGACCAAATAACTTCTTTCAATTAATTAATCTTTATGTAAGGTATTGGTTGAAATGAAAAAGTCAGTGTCATGAACGGGATTCGAACCCACGACCTTCGGCTTCGAATCCCGTTCGTGTACTGATTTTTTCATTTCAACCAATAGCTTACATAAAGATTAATTAATTGAAATTAATTATTTTTATTTTTTTAAGTAAGTAGCGCTGCGCTCTACCATCCACGATGGTCTAAACAGTTTAGGCCAACGTAAGTCAAAGATAAGGTAGACCGCGATGTACGACGGCTAGAGACGATTGCTCTTACCGCACTACGGAACCATCATTTAACGTAGGTAGTTAACTCCGACTATTCGCAAATCGGCATCTCGCTTGGATATTCGAAGGAGGAGCTGTTCTCTTCACAGAAGCCTGTTTGGTTTGTCAGATGACCGGGACACTGTATAGAGAAGACCTGGTGACCGCTATGTTTCATGTGATATGAGTGTCTCACTCCATTGATCATGTACTCTGGACAACTTCGTGTTGCTTGATAAAGCTCGACCGGTTGTAGCTCGAGTTGTTTCCTATTACTTGGAGGATGTAAGGATTACCATAATGAATTGGTCAGCACGTTCTCCTAAGATGAATGCTGGAGGACACTTATTGGATATGATAAAGAGGCGGGCTAGACATCGTTTGCTATCTCCAACAAGCTTTGTACGGCTTTAATGGGATCTGGGATTCTGTTTTACAAGACGAAGTCCGATCGCTTATTTATTCGACGCCTAGGAGACGTAAGGTTCTCCCGCGAGGCCAGGGGTTTTTATATCTTTCTAAATACAAAACATCCTTGTTATTAGAAACCAACTAAAAATAATACAGATCTGGCAGGATAAAAAGTTAATAAGGTTGTTTACGAGGGAAAATGTAAAAGGTCCGCCAATCCTCGCTGTGGTTTGTAAAAACGTGCATCTCATGACTTATTAAATAATGATTTCGCTTGGGAGTTAACGTCGGTTTCTTATGCAAAACGATTACGTTCGACTATCGGGCATCAATAATTATCGATATTTAGAAGATTTCCACTGATTCCTTTTGAAATTCGACCCCATGTTAGACGGATGAATCAAAGCGATAGCTCAAGTTTTAATGAGTAGTCAGAGTTGAATATTTGAGGAGTGGCATACAAGGAACGGAGCAGGGCGAAGATGAGAAGTCGAAGTGGTTGGAAAGGCGAATAGACGGTGGGGGTGGAGTCGCTAAGGAGGTTCATTTCCTCAAAAACCCTCCTCACCTCTCCCTCAGATCCCCCTTTCAAAGTCTCACAAGTAATTTCCTCTAGTCACCATCTTAACTTCACCCCTCCCAGGAGGCAAAGCCCCTCCTGGAAATGGTAAATCCTTCCTAGAGCATACTTTTGCCTAAACTTTTCCCCTAATTGCCTGCATCCAACTTTCAACAGTACATTTAAAATATTGTTTCGAAGAGGGGGGGGTGTCTGATGTCAAGAGAAATAATTTCTGACATTTTTGAAGAATCGATGCATGGATTCGGCCAAAAAAGGAATCAAATTTTGCTTATTAAAGTAATTTGAAAAAATAAGCTTAGGATTGTGAAACGTTTTAATCTGAAAGTAGTGAAAAACTGGGAACAAGAATTAGGATAATGTAACTCGTTAAAATTTGTCTTATGTCTTAATATAATTAAAGATCAGCCCAAAACGAGTGCATTTAATTCAAAGTCATTGGACGGAGTCAACAAAAAGTATGAAATCCCTACGTAAAAGTAACCTAGACTTAACAATAAGTTAAGATTTTTGTTTTTTAATTAGTTTCTATTTTATTTATTATTTTTTTAATAATTTTGTAAATATGTTAGGCATTCGTCCGATTTGTAAGGAAACTTTTATAGGGAGAGGTAGTTAGAATATTCACAAAACCGTTGTGTCATGTTAAACATGTTATTAAAACTTGAAATTTGGTCGTTGTACATTATTTTGTAGGTTTGTTCTGTGGTGACGCGTTTTCGTCCTTTTACCATCTTCAGTAGTAATCTGAAGGTGCGAGGTATGGTTTACAAGCTGGGCGCAGCTTGCTGAAACCAAACTTTTTCTTCTCAACTAACAATAAGTCACAAAACTTTCAAACAAACACTTTGAGTAGGACTATCCAGCACACAAATTAAGTTTAGTAAGGCTAATATAGCTGCATAAAATTTATTTTGTTTCTTAATAGTAAAAGATAAGCCCAAAGCAACTGTATTTAATTCAAAATATTTAAAGTCGCCGAAAGGAGTCTTTAAAAAAAAAGTATGAAATCCATATGTAAAAATAATCAGGAAATCTTTGGATAAGGCGAAACCATAAAAGCGTCTGTAAGACCAAAGCAACGACGATAGGCAAACCAGAAGGGGTGAGGTCAGGATTAGATGGAAGGTGTGGCCGAACATTCTCTTGTCGAAACGAAAGGTGTTTCTAAGTGAACAATGTCTCAAAATTCAGACCGCAGCAGCTTTTCAAAAGCTTCAGTGTTGGTTCTGTGTAATCTGAAGGAGCGAGGTCAGGTTTACAAGAAAGGTGCGGCCGAGGCTCTTGTCGAAATTAGAGGTTTTCTCACTCAAAAAAGTTTCAAAATTCAGACCCAAATAGCTTTTAACCATCTTTAGTGATGGTTCTGTGTAGTCTGAAGGAGCGAAGTCAGGATCACAAGGAAAGTGCTTCTGAACATTGTCTTGTCGAATCAAAACGTTTTTCTTATTCAACGAAATCTTAAATCCAGAATCAGTAGCTTTTTACTACCTTCAGTAGTTTGTGCATTCTGGAGGAGCAAGGCCTTCGATGGACATTCTTTTGTCGAACCAAAAGGTTTTTCTTACTCAAGAAAGGCTCAAGGCTTAGAACCAGCTGCTCTTCGTTATCTTCAATAGACCGCCTGTTTAGACTGAAGGAGCAAGGTCAGAACAACAACTGGGTGCGGCCAGCCACTGTCTTGTTCAAATCATACTTTCTTCCTACTCAACAGTCTCAAAACTTTGAATAAAACTCTGAATTTTTTAAAAATTATTAGGCTGTCAGGCCCAGTAATTAAATTTTGTTAGGGTAGTAGGATAAATCAGTCATAAAACACAAAAATTTGACTTATGACTGATTTCGCCCAACAATACCAACTCAATTCATTTACCTCAACACGGTCTTATGTTCTGAGGTCTAGGTGCGCGCAGCTAGCAAAACTCTTAAACAAACTTAAATTGAACTTTTTGACGAAAAGCAGAAACACACTTTACAGACAAAATATTTTGAGGCTGTCCACTATTGTACTTAAATTAATTGTGATAGCAGTCTATTAAAGTTATAACAGTTATTAAAGAGAGATTTTAGATTAGTAAAAAGACAGATAGCCGTTGAAAATTGTTTGGTGAATTGAATCATATCCTATTCCATGGACTTTCATGTCTACTCTTTTGATCTTTAGTTCCTTAATATATTATGTTTATTTCTTCTAATTGTTTTGTGAACTTACTTTCTAAGCTGTGGGCTACACATGGTAAGCAAACCAAAGTTTTATCTTAAAGCAGTTAAGAAATATCGCACTTGCACACCTCAGATCATAAGCCCATGTCGACCTAGTGTCGACTGTACTTAACACGCAATTGTAACAAGGTTAGCGTAGGTAATTTAAATAGCTCTAAAATGTCTGTAGTGCGATATTAATAAACCAAGTAATAGAAAAGATCATTCGATCAAAAAAAAGTAATTTTCCTATGGTAAAACTATATTTATAGAACTGAAAACCTCATCATTTTAGGTAGATCTTCCAATTACAGTTATCTCGAATGAAAAAGATTTTTTAAAAACTTCTCATGAAGTAACATTCAAACGTAATTCAAAGAGTTCTTTACCCATGGCGTCCTGCCGCATCCCGGACACGGTAGTCATGTTTGTGGCAGAATGGGACATCGAAAAAGGTTGAGTCATCGGTGGGTAACTGGCCGCCGTCATCTATAAAACAAGGTAAATCAGTCGATGATAAATAAACAGTTTAACTCGGGACGTCATGTTTCTATTACCTGTTGGTACCTATTCATGGCGTTGTGATGATGGTAAGGTTGATACCCCCTCGTGGCGGTCGGATAGATATTTCTCATCATAGCACCGTTGCACGTCGGAAGGACAGACGGCGCTAGAGCTTTTTGAAGTTGTTTCTCTTGTTTCCTGTATTTTGCTCTTCTGTTTTGAAACCAGACCTGAAATCAGAAAACCTTTAGTTATCTTTTGTAAGTTTATGTAGTTTTTAAGGGCATTATTGTGAATTCCTTAAAAAGATATTTCTTATTGTTCATTTGGGTACTTGAGATAGGACCACCTAAGAGTATCAGATGTAATCATCAAACCTTGAGGTTTGAGGTTAAAACGAAGAGAAAGGCTACATTACTAATATCTACAACAATTGTATAAGTGATAAGCCTTGTCATTTATTGATTTGTTCTTCAGGTGGGTCTTTTGAAAAGATCATTTTGCAATCAATTATTGAGCGACACAAAAAAACCAGCTGCTCATTGGAACGGAGCGGTGGATTTACAAGCCATTTCTACTGTTCACGTCGAGAGATGTGTTTGTATCTTCTGCCTGATGATATTTACTCGAAATTTCCTAAAACTCCTCTGAGAAGAAGTATCTTTTACAAAAAACGATTTGCCACACTCACTCCACCTCAAATCATTTCTATTCTGCTTGTGCAAAAAAGTTTAAAAATAAACTTCCGAGATGGACCTTCGGATATAATAGATAGACCAAATAAGGAATGAAATAGGACTAGATTGAAAATAGTGGAAACCGCTGAAGAAAGGATTATTAAGGGGAAAATAAGGAGGTATGTAGGGGACTTTTGAGGTTGCTAATTTCCTATTCCATTCACGTGTGTTATAGCTACATAGTGTTATAGCTATCTAGTTTTAATATGAAAAAATAACTTTCGCAAAACAGTATATGGCTGTTGATAAATGCAAAATTTGGACACCTCGAACTTCCTGGAGTTGATGAATCGTTTGAACAGTAAGGTGCAGGTTTCGTAAAATTCTCAAAGTCGAAAAACAGTCATCCTGTGGTTCTGTTACCCTAGGGTGTCCAGAACCAGGCCTTCTATGGTAGGACCTAGTTTCTCGAAAACGTCTAACGTCATTTAGCAGAGTTTCGTAGGGAACTCCGATGGCAGTAGCCTCATACCTGATGGAACGTCCAACATCAATAAGTGCCATACCACGCGCAACATCCTCAGCACTAAGTAGCATTTGTATGTTTAAAAATTGAAAGTAAGAAAACCAAGATGAAAACTAAACAGTTTATTGCTTCAGAATTCAAATGAGACTGAATAAATAGGTTAAATACCGTAAAAAGTAAACGTTGAAAAATCCGTCATCTTTGTTTTGGATTAAGGATTAAGTGTGTTTATCTCTAATTAATATTCCTATTTTAAAACAGCATAAACAAATATTTATTGGTAAAAACAGTGAGACAAGTTAGGGGCCAAATTTTCTTTTATCGAAGAAAATGAAAAAAATCAATTGGGTGGAATTTTTGCCTGTCAGTGTATATATAGGGTGTCCTTTTTAGAAGGCCCGGCTGAATTTATTTTGAACCAATGACGATATAAAAAAATACGTGTTTAACATTTTTAGTCTATTTCTAATATTTTTTTATAGAAAAATTATACAGGGAACCTCAGACCCTGTTCAACTTCAAAATTTCAAATAAGACCGTATACATCCTGATGAATTACCAAACAATGGTGCAATCGGATTTTAAAATTGGTCAAAAAATGACAAAGTTATGGCAAAAAGAAACCGGCAGCTAATTTCTACGAGGAGCTGAATGCTTTAATGCATGTTCGAGAAAATTCGAATTCCTCTCTCGGAAATGTTGGAAGGGTTTCAAAAAATAAATTTAAATGTACTCCTGAGTTATAATTTTAAGCCTTATTGCTCTCATCTTGTCTAGGATTTTGGAACTCTGATTATGACAGGCATCTTACGTTCTTTGCCCAAATGTCGATTTAGGAGGCTGAATAAAACGTTATTCCACACATCCTAAGGACTCATGAATCCTCTAATGGCTCTACCAAGTGTCACATAATAACTTTTTCCTCCAAAAATAGAAAAATTGACTAAATACTGCTCACTCTCTATATGGAGCCAAATATTTATATTCTTCAATTAACTTGGGCCCATCAAGAAACCTTTTTTTACGTGCTGTGTTTTGGCACAAATGAGACAGCCTGGAAGGCCTATTTTTTTATTATTATTTTTTTACAAGGGTTCGAAACAGCAGAGGTCATATAAACCCTCAAGGTGCCGGTGTTTTTGAAAAAAAGCCCATTTGTAAGTATGTCGAGTTCGAGTGCAGGGCGGCTGGATTCGAACCCGGGACTTTCACCTTACAGTGATAAGCGCCGTGTCAACGCCTAAACCGTTGCGGCCACCGACTTCCCCTGGAAGGCCTATTCTTAAGGATTAAGTGCGTTTACATCTAATTGAAATTCCCAATTTAAAACGTAGCATAATTGAGAGACAAATTAAGGGCAGAATTTTCTTTTATCGAGAAAATGAAAAAAAAAATCAATTGGATGGAATTTTTTTTCTGTCAGTGTGTTATAACAATATATTGTTTCATTTAACGTGGCTTTTAGAAATATTCGATCAAAATACCTTGACGGTGAAATTACAAAATTTCAGTTATTGGAAGGAAAGTAAATCGGGCTTTTATATCTGGAATAAACGGGATCGAGTGAATATCTTTCTACGAATGCAAGGAAACAGGTTGGTTGACACCCTTTTTGGCAGTGAAAATGGTCTGCACCACTAAGGAGTAGGAGAAGCGTTGTATCCAAAAGCCTATTCCATTTCTATCTGCGAGAGCCCCCCAAGGGGTTTTCCAGTTGTTGAACGGCCAGAGGGTGGTGAAGAGGACCAGAGGAGGAGTATAACGAAGTTAGGGCTACGTTTGATGAGCTACCCATCCCCAAACCCCGTTTCTCTATTCTGGGTCTCTATGACCCCTGAGGGGTGTTGCCTGGGTAGGGGTTGGTTTGACAAAATGGCGTCCTCAACCCCGCCCCTTCGACCAATCGTAGCCGGGTTCTCCTTCCATTCTCGACCGTGCTCGAGCTCGGCACCGACTATCAAAGACTATTACCAATTACCATATATCCCCAACACAAACTATCTATTCAGATACCATCTACAAATAGGTTTACAACGAGCTATCATCCTCTTTTTGCCCCTGTTCTTGTATAACTCTGTCAATCAATGGTGCCCAAATCATTTTTCTTTTTCAAAAGTCGTCTATGTTACATAGGGATTGAAAGAACCAACCATTATTCAATAATTCAAGTTTCTAATCTTAAACGATTTTCGGACGACAAATTTTTTTATTTAATATTGACCAAAAACCCATTGAGAGAGATTTATGAAGTTTCTTACAAAATCCCAAAGTGTAATAATTGGATTTATACAGTGTAAATAAGTACATTCTTCGTAGCCATAAAAAAAGATAAAGATTAATAAAAGAATCATGATTTTCGATATTATGAGAGAAATAGAGAGAGAGGGAGAGAGAGAGAGAGAGAGAGAGAGNGGGGCCAGAGACGATAAAGCGCCCTTCTTATCCCTTCTTATCATTGCAACCAAACACATCAGCCCTTAGACCAATTAAACTAATTAAACAAATATGTATAAAACCCCTTGTATCTATTCTAAGGGGCTCACTCTTACTGTTGCGTTCTGTCCGTCATAGTGTCGGTTCCGTTGTTGTAATCTTTTACAATAAAACTTCCTTTTTTAAAAAGTCTCTTCCGCAGAGCGGTTATTGAACTGGCGCCCGGAACAGGGACCGCGAAGCTAAAATTCGAAAAAAAAAAGTCGTGACCATTTGTCCCGCAGTTGCGTCCAACCGACCAAACGAGAATTTTTAGCGAGCATATCGTTGATTTAAATCGCGGTTCAAGAACAAATTCAAGACCAAAGAGATCTCCGGCTGCGACCATTTGTCCCATCCAGGAGCGGTCAACGTGAAAAATCGCCTCAAGACGGAGAAAAGAGCAAGAACCAAGAAGGAAGACGGCCTGGCGAAGAAGAACACCAACGTAGAAGTGAGTCCTCATCTTTCGCCTTCCAAATTAATCTTTACCTATAACCACTAAAATGACTCAGAAAATTAACTATAAAATTGCAAAAGAGGATTATGATCACATCCCTTTCTTTGATGGAAACCCTTCTGAATTAGCATTTTTCTGTGAAATTCTTGAAACAGCCTATAGTGTCCTTTGTGCTGAAAATATAGTAGAAAGAGATTATAATCATAATATTTTATTTATAAACACAAAGAGCAAGTTAGTTGGCCCTGCCAGAAATGTACTCATGTCCCATGAAATAAATCATTTATTGATACTAATTAAAATTTTAAAAGAAAACTTTGCAGACGCAAGATCTTTCGAAATTCTTAAAGAAGAAGTTATGCGTACTAGATTAAACCCAAAAGAATCCCTTATAGGATTTGTGAATAGAGTTCAGGGTTTGCGAAATCTTGTCTATATCCGACTTAAATTAGACGGATTAAGCTCAGAAGTCCTTAAAGAACTAATGATCAGAATAGACAAAGAAATAATATTTCATATATACAAATGTTTACCCCCTGCCCTAAACAACCATATTATGATTTTTAACCCCGAGTCTTTGGATGATGTTAGAAGCACAATGTATAACAAATGTTCTTTGTTACCCTCAAACGTACAAGCTTTCTCTAATGGTCCTAAACATTTTCATCACAACAACAATCAATCCAAATACATTAACACTACGTTTGACAACACAAATTCCACCCCAATAATTATCATGGCCAGCACATCAAAAAACCAGACAATTGCAACGATCCTAATCATCCTTTTAATAGGCCAAGACCATTCATTAAACACGACTCTCAGAACACAGTCTCTATGCGTTCGGTGGGAAAACCTCGAATATCAGAGTTGAGGTACGAATTGACACACTGCGTAAAAGCAAAAACAAACCATACTTCGAGAGACAGAATTACCAGATTAGAACACAGCATTCACACATTGACAAAAAAATTTGACCATTTTTTAGAACTCGGCAAAGAATCGAAAGGCAGCCCCCCGAATATCAAATAAACTCCATCTCTCAATCCCTACCACATTTTGTTGATCGGTTTGGATTCAAATGGTTAATCGACACTGGATCGTCAGAAAATTATATTACCCCTCACGCTGTACCCGAAAACATAATTCTAAACAATGACCCTTTTATAATTTCAACACCCACAGGAAAGAAAAACGGAGAAAAATCTTGCAATTTAGATCTTTCAAACATTTTCAAAAAGCCAGATATTGCGAAATTTTATCTCTTCCCATTTTCAGATAAATACCATGTTTTGTTAGGATATAAAACCATGCAGAAGCTAGGCGTTATAGACCTTAACAATAAAATTCTTTCTTATGACGGTGGCACGATTCCATTGAGATTCTCTTTCGAACCGCCAGAAGTAAATAATAAATATTTTAAAAAGATAAGAAAAAATATAAATGTCGAAGCCAAGAAGAACGAAGTGATTTGCGATGAATCCAAGTAGGTAATGGCCATTTGTCCCGAACCTATGGACATCGACAAAACAAGCACTTCTATGAGCTATGCCGACTCATTAGTGGCCAATTGCCCCAAAAGGTCGAAAGTTATGGCTTCGGAAGAAATAAGGAAAGAAATACCCAAGCTAATTAGAACGGAGCATATGAACTCCGAAGAAAAATTTAAAATAATAAAATTATTAAAGGAAAACCCTGAAATAATAAAAAGAGAAAACGATAGACTAAGTTCTACAAATTTACTAAAGCATAAATAACCACTGATGACAAACGAGTGTATTCTAGGAATTATAGGTACCCTAAAGTGTACCGCAAGGATGTTCAAGTAGAAATTGACAAATTGCTTGAAAATAAAATAATCCAACATTCTAATTCGCCTGTCAATAGCCCGATTTGGGTAGTTCTTAAGAACACGGATGCTTCAAGAAAGAAAAAAGTTGGAATGGTAATTGACCACTGAAAACTTAATCATAAAACACGAAAAAAATAACCTCTAATCCAAGCACTAAGACTCTCGTTGATAGCACACATATGACAGACAAATATTACACATTTATTCATTTAATCAATTTAGAACTATATATTAGAAGAAGATAAAAACGGAACTAGATTACGTAAAAGACTTACTAAAATTTAAACTCAGCAAACCAGAATCTTTATCAAAATTGTATCTCTACACACGAAAGAAATTTGATCACTTAATGATATACAAATCATACAAGAAAACAACAGAAAGATAAAATTATTAGCTAATCCCCTATTAAACGAACTAGAAAGGAACCAACTTTATAACGCTATCATTCTAAACCTGATTTTATTAGAGAATAAAATTAATGATATAGAAAACTCTGCAAATTAAAAATGCTACATACATTTTAACATACGATGATCTTGAGTCTCTAAAGGAAACTAAAAATATTACGTTTATATCGCCTGATCTTAGTGGCTTTGGCAACTAACTAAAGTGTATTGCTCTTTTGTTGATAATAATATTTACTATTTTATTGATATTCCCCTACAAAGCCAAACCTTTGATGCCTATTTCCTGCTATCCTATCCAGTTCTTAAAAACTCCCGAGCAACTACAATATACACTTATCCACCCTTAATAATCAAGGCGAAGATGATTTATTCACTGCTACGTGCATAGAAATTAATAACTTTACATATTGTACAAATAAATCAAAAATTAATAATGATTGTGTAAAACAAATATTAACAAACGAAAATCTTTCTAATTGTAAGTCTGTTTTTACATCAAGTGAACCATTTATAAAATATGTACCCTTTATCGACCATTATTTAGCATATAAGACTAAGAAAATTTTAATTATTAGAAATAATACTAATGAAACTGTATTCTTAACAAATACTAGCGTAATGAAATTAAGTAGCAACGAAAGATTGTTAAATGAAAAGACAATACCAGTGTTTAAAGAAACCAAAGTTTTGTTAACAATAGCTGATGTGTTTGACCAAGTAAAAACCAACATATCTTTTGAAAATTTACATGTTGTAAATATAAAAATGCAACCGTTTGAACTTTTAGAGGATACTCCCTCAAGGTTTTCAATTATGTACGTTTAAATTATAATATCTATCGGCATAATGTTAGCTGTCCCCACGATTGCTTTTCTCCGCTGGAGTCGTAAGAAAATTTTTCAACCCTCACACGAGATGGACTCAACAAATGAAGAAGTCCGTCAGGATGAAAACGCTCAGCCAACACCTGCACCATCCGCTTTCTCAAGACTACCTTTTCTATCGCAGGAGCTTCGAGCTTAAGGCCGGAGGAGTTACAGAAACGACCACACGCCATGTAGACAACCAGCACTTCAGAAAGTCGAGAGGGTCAGAGGTGAAAGATTATCAGCCAGCCAGATATCCAGGACCCAATTAGCCTAGGGGCCAGAGACGATAAAGCGCCCTTCTTATCATTGCAACCGAACACATCAGCCCTTAGACCAATTAAACTAATTAAACAAATATGTATAAAACCCTTGTATCTACTACTCAGGGGCTCACTCTTACTGTTGCGTTCTGTCCCTAAACTGCAGTAAATACTCTAAATTTCACTCTCAGCAGGATACTTTCCTGCGATAGAAGTTCATGCCAGGATTTATTTATTGTCAGACATGCGGTAGAAGCTTTCAGTGCCAGGTGCCTGGACCAAACAAGACCTGGAGTGAGGATTACATCCAGACATTTATAGTGGTCCACCATTTCGATAATCTTCTCTTTAAATCGCCAACATTCCAAAGATTACGCACTCTTCTGAATACTTTAATTTTAGATTTATTCAAATTGCCTCTTAATGCCCATTGTTTCCAATATGATTCGAAGAGCTCTACGCTATCTGCTAGAATGACAATTTCGTCTGTATACATCAGTTTTTATAACATTACCACAGACCACCGCATTCCAGACTGGACGGAAGATCGTCAGCAGCGATATTATGATACATTATTGAAATGAAATCATTAGGCCCGAAAAATAACAGCTATATGCGTAACGTATAGATGGTTAGTTTGTTTCAGACCGATAAATCCAACCAACAAAATCTGCCGGGTAGTAATCCAGCGACAATTTAGATAGCAGAGTCTACACAAAATCCAATAGAATTCAATTTTTTATGATTTCATTCACAAACGGTCGAGTCTTTGTGCACTTGTTTGGTCGTTTCCGATCACTCTGATCCGCGTTTCGGCTGCCGAAAAAACAAAATAGACAAAGCTAACACCTCGTCTGAAAGGTCGAAACGCGCCTGAAAACCAAAAACGCAAAGATACAAAACAGACTTTTTTTAAAATAAAAAAACTCCGCTTCTCTATACTGATGCTGAAAAGCTAAAATGTGCTACATGTATGCAAAGAGATATAGAAATAAATAGATAGACCAAGAGCGAGAGATTGATTGATTGATTAACGATTAATTTATTATGCATTTTATTATTAAAATGCAGGCAAATGTTAGGTGTCTAGGACCTTTCTTACACAACGTGTAATTACAATTATAATATTTGTTTATAGTCGCTACAGACATAAAATAGAAATAACAATCAACACTGAACTAAATGAATAAATTGAGAGTAAGTTTCACTTATGTTATATTTTTGTACAGAGCCTATTATTGTCGAGTAACAAAATTAGATATAGATTTGTCGTAAGATTCTGAAAAACTAGATAGTACCTTCTAGAATTGGAACATAATTTTACGATTTAAATATGAAATAAAATACTAATAAAATGATTATTAACGTTTTAAAAGTCAATGTAAAAGTATATAATAAAAAAGAGAATAATAAAGTAATAAATAAAAATATATAAGTGTATGATGTACTGTTAACTACTTAAATATTAAATAAGATAAACGCTAATTTATAGTTTTATATTCAACATATTTACTTAATAAGTATTCTTTAGGTTTTACTTCCAATGATTTTATGCTTTTTTTTTAACTATATATTTCGGTATTAAGTTAAAGATTTTTGAAGAGAGAAAGAGAGAGAGAGAGAGAGAGAGAGAGAGAGAGAGAGAGAGAGAGAGAGAGAGAGAGAGATAGACAGACAGACAGAGAGAAACAGAGATAAAGATAAGGAAGGGAGAGGGAAAGAGAGAGAAAATGAGAAGAAATAAATGAAAAACAGAATTAGAGGTAATCAAAATCAGAGAGACAAAAATACAAAGACAAAGAATTAGAAAGTGAAAGAGAGGAGGAAGTGAGGAGAAATAGATGAAAAACAGAGAGAAACAGAGACAACGATAAAGAAAGGGAGAGGGAGAAGAAGAGAACAAATATATAAAAAAAACAAAAAGAGTGAGAGAGAGAGAGAGAGAGAGAGAGAGAGAGAGAGAGAGAGAAGGAGAGGGAGAGAAAGTAGTAGAGAAAGAAAGAAAGCGAGAGAGAGAGAGAGTGAGTGAGAGAGAGAGAGAGAGAGAGAGATTCATCATCAATGATAATTTATGTTAAACCATCATACTTTATCACCCAATACATTCTACGTTTTACAGCCGACAGGTAAACTTTGAGAATTTAATTAGAAGTGGCGAAAAATTTCCAATAGAGATCTTCTTAGAAAAAAGCTTGTGCTTAGCTTCGCTGTTAAAAGTAAATATGGTTTTAGTTCGAGCTTGTGAAAAGTCTCTGATCTTTACATTTGACAGTTATAGTTGATAAAAACTGGACTGAATAAATGTGTATAAGACAGGCAAAACTTTGCCCTAAAAGTCGTCTCGCCTCAACTTGATCATACCTCCGACAACAAAATTGACCCGAAGCCTTTTCCAACGAATTTTTGAGCAGAAACTCTACTTTGACGATGTGAAATCAGGTAAATTTGTCAGTGTGAAATATTGAACTATTGATATTATGCATTACAAGAGGTTATGCATAATATCTATGCATAACTACTAGTTGACTACAAATTTAACCAAAACTTTTAACCAAATAATTGATTACGTATGTATATTTCAGTTAATAACACTTATGAATTCTGTAGGTATCATCAACAAATTCAAACATTACGGGAAGCACGGATTGAATATATGCAATACTTTTGCGGGTAAGAACAGACAGACCGTAGAATTATGGGATAATATATATTTCTTTAGTGTTAAATTAGGCAGAACACTGTCGGAATGTCGAGAGCGTCAAATTTGAAAGGCGGCCTCCCACAGAGACGCCCCCCGCTGAATCACATCTGTCAGCAGTGACGTGATCGAACCATTGATTCGTTTCTTCTAATCTAACATTGTCCCTTCTGGATATGTTTTTGCACTGAATAGTGTATATACATACTAAAAAACGCAATATATTCTATGGGAAACATAAACCAGTTAGAATGGACGGACCCCGAAAATGATCAATGTCAACAAACAAACTAGGTAATAGGAATAATAAATTAGGACATATTTTTCTTGATGTAAGTTTTCTCTAGTCTACTCTACTCTTTCTCTCCCTTCCATCCCTCTGGTTATCTCTGTTTTTCAGCTATTTCTCCTCACTCTCTCTCGACTCCTCCTTCTCTCTCTTACACTTTCTTAATCTTTGTCTCTGTTTCTGTCTTTTTTATTTTTATGTATTTCCTCTCATTTTCTCTCTCTCTCTCTATCTTCTTATCTCTCTGTCCCTCTCGCTTTCTTTTTCTTTGTCTCTGTTTCTCTCTGTTTTTCATCTATTTCTCCTCACTTTCTCTCGACTCCTCCTTCTCTCTCTTACACTTTCTTATTCTTTGTCTCTGTATCTCTCTCTCTCTCTGTCTCTTTTTATGTATTTCTTCTCATTTTCTCTCTCTCTCTTTCTTCTTCTTCTCTCCCTGTCCCTCTCGCTTTCTTTTTCTTTGTCTCTGTTTCTCTCTGTTTTTCATCTATTTCTCTTCACTTTCACTTTCTTTTTATTTTGTATCTGTAACACTCTCTCTCTCTCTCTGTCTTACTCACTCTCTCTGTTTTTTATTCATTTCTTCTCAATTTCTCTCTCTGTCCCTCTCGCTTTCTTTATTTTTGTCTCTGTTTCTCTCTGTTTTTCATCTATTTCTCCTCACTTTCACTTTCTTTTTATTTTGTATCTGTAACACTCTCTCTCTCTCTCTGTCTTACTCACTCTCTCTGATTTTTATTCATTTCTTCTCAATTTCTCCCTCTGTCCCTCTCCCTTTCTTTATTTTTGTCTCTGTTTCTCTCTGTCGGAGTCTTTGTCTGTCTGTCTTTCTCTCTCTCTCTCTCTCTCTCTCTCTCTCTTTCTTTCTTTCTTTCTCTCTCTCTCTCTCTCTCTCTCTCTCTCTCTCTCTCTCTCTCTCTTTCAGTTGAAATTATGGCAAAACTGAGAATAGGTTATATCTGGCTCTCGGGTTTTGTTTGTTATCATTACCATTCAGGTGGGCGGATTTTTGATATGCTATATATATATTTCGATAAGTTGGTCTGTGCGTTATCTGTGAAGTCAAGCCTTTTTTTATAAGACAGTAAGGGGTGCTTTCGTCAGCCCTTTGTTTGTCGGGGATTTAGGTAGATTAAATCTGGATGCTTTATTTATTGTTCCTGGTGTTTTTTCTGCGACGACAGCGATGATAGGCTGATCAAAAGATGATCTTCAACAACCGCAGTCTTCACGAAGAAATCTCATTAAGGTTTAAAGCATCAAGTCAAGTTATTTGAATATTTACGAGTTGCGACGCGCATGACTTAATACAGTCTACTCCCTTCAGATACTTTTTTTTTCTTTTGTAGATAGATGTATTTATTAACATTTAAGGAATGAGTGTGAATTTTAGATTTACTGCAAGACTACTTATGTTCTAAGTATGCAAGTGGCTAGCATTGGGTGAATATGAACTACCCACGTGATGCCTGTCTATTTTTAATGTAATTTAGCTCTCATGTATGACAGAATGTATTCTTTTTTATGTTAGTCGGTTTCGGCACATGTGGAAGTGCATTTTTGAACGTAGGGAATTTTTTTTAGTACGCTAAGGAGGAGAACAAATACTCTGTTTAGTCAAATGTTTGTCTAACCAAAATATATGAGATAAGGTGAAATATATAGAAAGAAAATCCTGTTAAAAACCAGAACACAGGTAAAGTATAAGAAGAGGTCAATTGTGAAACAATGAAAACAGCGCTAAAGGTATTTAAATATTGAAAAAAATTATAAACCTATTTTTCTTCTTACCCTTTGCTACTAATCAATACAGAAAACGTGAATATTAAACCGACGAAAAATTTCGTTTTAAAGGGCTACGAAAAGAATAGAAGAAATAACTGACCTGTATCCTGGCTTCGTTCAGCTTCGTGGTTCGGGCGAGTTCTTCTCTACAGTAAATATCGGGATAGTGCGATTTAGCAAAGGCCGCTTCCAGTTCTGCCAGTTGTTCCTAAATTGAAAACAAGCTACTGTCAAAAATTGTATCCCGTCCTGTAAATCCCGTCATTAGATTTTAAAGAGGGCAGATGTCGCCCATCAGAGGGGCGGCCGACCAGGTGGCTGTCGGATTTAGATTTAATTGTGAGGATAACGAGTCAATTAGTGACCTCGGACTTCCATACTCACTTGGGTGAAGGTCGTCCGATGTCTTCGACGGGCGGGTGTAGGACAGGAAGCCGTTGTTGGCGTGTGGCCGGCGTGCTGTGGACCGGGAGACACGACTGGCTCGTTTTTCAGCTTTTTAAACGCACCCTCGCCACCTGTATCAAAAATTGAAAATTTAATATGATTTATAAGTGATCTGGTGGTTTAAAAACGTCAGAACACAATCGAAGAACTTAACCTTGATGTATACTGATGTACATATCGTATCTGAGTGTGCATTTATCTCCTTGTATAATATTTATAGTTTGTTCCTAAATATTGCTTTGCTAATATTCAATAATTTAAAAACAAATCGTAGATCAGTGCTCAATACTAAAATATTTTTTATCGTATATTTATTATACGTTTTCTTGTTGGATTTAAACTGACATGTGCGTTGAGCATGTGTTTTTGTTTGTGCTTGTTTGTTGTTTTGTGTGTGTGTGTGTGTGTGTGTGTGTGTGTGTGTGTGTGTGTGTGTGTGTGTGTGTGTGTGTGTGTGTGTGTGTGTGTGTTTGTATAATTATATAAATAAATTTGTATGAAGTGTATTTTTTTTCTACGATAATAAACTTTATCTAACAGATTAATAATTAAATAGCCCTCATAAATCAGGACCGATACTTATTATTTATGAGTTATTTATCCAGTTCTTTCTGTCTGGATCTTATATTTTTTCTAGGGTTTAAATTATTATATATAAAATTAAACTATATGTCTATTTAGTAGTCATAATTGACCGTATTAATTATCTTAATTAATTATTATTTTAAACCAACCAACACTTTAGATTTAAAATATTAATTAATATATAAAACAATATTATTATCGTGCCTTTATAAATTTTTATTTGACCAAAATTTTATAGTCATTGACGCCACGATTTGAACTCAGAACCGTTAGTCTAGTAAATACAAGTCAGACGGCCTTACCATTTTGCCCCCTCCACTTTAATAACAATTATAAATGTTTTAGTCAAAATTCTATGTCAGTGTGATAAACAATTTTTTTTTTGAAATTTGCAACTGTAGACTTAACTACTGTACTAGAAGCAAATGCATTGGTGGTAGAGAATATTTGAATTGTCCTGAGCGGAGAAGTCACTCAGTAGTGACACTTTGATATAAGTATATTTAAGCATTCGCGGTATCACTCGAGTTGAGATCAAGAGGCCATAAGCTTTCCAGTCGGCGTTGTGGAGTATCGGGGAGTGTGGTTGAGGAGAGTTGGGTTACCAGGGAATTAGGGGAATTAGGATGACAAGTGAGTGAGGAGTGGAATTTATTGTATCTTGATTTGATGGCATGGAAACATAAGGGATATTGAGGTCATGATGAACAGTACGATTGGACACATATAAGGAGCATTTGCAATACACCGGAGGGTTTTGGATTGGATTCGCTAGGAGTTGGATGCGTTGGATGAGCCTCATATTCCCACACAGTAGGTAAACATTTTTGAAGGGAAAAATCCGATTACTTTAGAATAAAACTAGAGAGACGGATTATTCGGCAGAGAAAATGGGCTGAACTATTTGTTAGTTATTATAATTATTTCCATTATATTTCGTGGTCAGATTGACCAAATTAGTTCTTTCAATTAATTAATCTTTATGTAAGGTATTGGTTGAAATGAAAAAGTTAGTGTCATCAGCGGGATTCGAACCTATGACCTTCGGCTAAATACGTCGCTGCTCTACCACTTGAGCTATCGTGACTTTGATCCACTTGGATTATAATTACCTATATTATATTTTGATTTTTTTAACTTCATCTCTGTAGTACAAGTATATGTATGTGTATATGTATCAGAAGGACATCAGAAAATCAAGGACATCGGTGTTTTGGCGGTCCACCCGAAGTTAGGCTCCTGGGACTTGAAGAAGGTTGTTTTAAAGGTTTTGGGCTTAAAAGCTAGGTAATTTCAGCCCCAAAAGTCCGCAGTGTTGAAAACTAGGCACACTCTCATTCATTGTTAAATACATTTTCTCTTAATATACCAAACACTCAAGTAGGGTGGAGTACTCAATATTCCTTCATCACCTTTTAAGCATATCAGTTAATCAAATTGAGTACGGAGGTAAGTATTTAGGTGTTCTATTCCGATGTTTGGAAGAAACAGGACTGTTCTATTGTATGTAGTGCGTGATATATGCCTCGTTTTTTGTTTTCCTTAGCGTATATTGAGGATGAATGTATTTATTAGCTAAATGATCAGTGTGAAAGATCCGATGTCGGAATATCAAGTACTTACCACCCTAACTGAGTGGTTGGTATGTAAATAAGAAAGAATGCATTTAAGAGTGAGTGAGAGTGTGAATGGGTTTGTATTTGTAAACTGGGTTGGGGCTGAAATGACCTAGTAGTTGATAACCCCTGGAGCCAAATGTTGGTGGCTGGACGGGTAAGATCCGAGCCAACAGCATTGAACCGTTAAATTAATCTCACAGTATGTCTAAGCTCCGACAAAGGATAAATGTGTATCTTAAATACTATAAGTTGGAACCAAATTTTAGTAAATCAGTTATGGGTGGAATCTGTGCACTCCTCTGAAAACCATGCTTGTACTTTCCTAGAAATTATCTAAAGTATTTCCGGTAATCATTTTTTCATTTTGGTTATATCAAGATATTTGTAGAGGGATGATGTTTAATATAATCCTAAAGCACGTCCCGCTGAGGGATGAAAATTTAATTGAGTGTTTAGATCCACTGTTCCAATTTTTGAAGGAAATGGGATTGTTTTATTATATATAGTGCTTCATATATGCCTTGTTTTGTGTGTATTGAGGTGGATATATTTATAAGCGTGAATGTGAAGTGTGAGAGGACTGATGGTGAAATATTACGACAAAGAGAAAGGTTGCTCGATGTGTCCCACTTAATTGAATGAGGTCATTCTTTGGCTCCATATAGAGAGCGTGTAAGAATGCAACCCAATAAGAGAATGGTGCTTGAGCGAGCCAAAGAATATCTAGGTCCTCAATATATCGTTCCCAGACAACTTAAAACCTCTTTACAAGACATTTATTATTGAATATGAAAGTCCGAAGAAAAGAAAATATAGTGAAACTTTACGGACGTCTAACCACACTATAACACGTTTTTCATATTATTCTCAATTAAAATTTCAAGGGGACTGCCGGGATTCGAACCCAGAACCACGGAGCGTGGCAAATACGCCGACTCTCTAACCTCTCGGCCACGTGGTCCCCCTATTTCGTTCCTACTTTATTATTTAGTATCTAAAACTTTTCGGTTTATATGGTTTTCCCTTCCTTTAATTCGTTTACTTACTCGTACTTCGGACTTTCTAGAATCTGGATGTCTGATCACTATTACATAGTGTCCTAAGGACAAACTTAAAAACAAACAGATGCTCTAGTGAAAAACTGAATTTTGGAAGTTTCTCTATGGCGTGAAAGAAGTGGAGATTGTTGTGAATTTGGAAAAATCAACCTCGTCGTTTTCATCTAAAAGACGTACAGCTGCAGTTGGCATGTTTGCTAACTCTGCCCTATATTTCTGTTTTACTTTAGACAACAGATTGACTTGGATTTAACATATTAACAATTTAAAAAATGCATGAGATAGAACATGGTCATCTTAATATAATCCGATCAAAATTTCCGCGGTAGCTTCAAATAAAAAATTAAAATCAAATGATGGTTCTGCAGAAACGTCAGTCTAACTACTGTATTTGAGCCTCAGCTGAAAATAGCCACATTAATAAATTTTAGAGCACAAAGATGCAAAAAAATTGATTCTTAGTAGATACAATGAATTGATGCTGATACTTTTGCAACCTACTTCCATGGAAAACCAGATGAACCCTCCCATTGTGTGCCGCGACTATCTAGAGCTATTTAAAACGAAATGAACACAGCAAATTCAAATCTAGTCAAAATTAACTTGTTATAACAAAAAAATAAAAATTGAACACATTAAAAATCCAGTAAGGAAAAATCTGTTAGTATGGATATCTTAGTACAATATATACTATTGTAGATATAATTGTTATAATTATCAATTCACTGCTCAAATAAAAGAACTTTTTTGGACAAAAACGTTTACCCAATTTCATCTTGAAAAATAATTTTTTTGAAAGGTTATTGTGAGATTTTCTCTTGACTATGCAGGGGTGCAATCTGTAGTTTGGTCGATTCCGGTCAATTTTGACAGCATATCCTCCCTGTTTTGGTATGTCAGACACGTTTAGGTTTTCGAACAATGAAAAGGGATCAAATTATAAAAAGCAGGATCGTGTATGACCGACCCAAACAGCGAGGACAGGCGGACCAGAATGACTAGAACCTAGCTACACTAAATGCTAACTATATTTTTGTAAAATAATCTTTTAAATTTATTTGTAATGGATTTTAATGATATCATCAAAAATTGGTCTCATATTGGATTTTGTTCAGACAGCGTGACCAACAGCAGGAATATTAATTTGTATTTGTACACAAAAAATGCATTTGCATAATTAAATAATAATAGCTGATATTATTAGACAAACAATCTTCATTTAAATCTTTGATGAAATGGCCCGCAATGTTGTTAGACACTAGCCAAGTCGGTAAGCACGCCATGCCGGCCAGGAACAGTCGAGCCGACCACATTGGATAGAGCAGCGTCCAATTTACATTTCAAATAGATGAGGACGACTCTGTTGAAAGGGGCGAACCCACTCTGACGACCGGCATACCGCAAGATATTGAATGAGACACGACTATCATCATGCCCCTTTCATGTTAATCAGTGGATAATTCGAGCACCATCGTCATTTTGAGGTAGATTAACTGATTATACCGTTTACTTGAGGACAACCCCAACATAAATCGCATATTTGCTTTGGCTTTATTTGACACGTGATCGTAAAGCATGATGAATTTTTCCATTCAAGAAGGGAATAAAAACAGAAAGTATTTTTCGACTAATTGAACGAATCATTTCATCAAAATTTTTAGGTGTTTCCTAAATAATTCTTTTTACAATTTCAAATTTTCGCCAAGGTCAGTTGGAGGTTTGGGCGATTTTTTGTTTATTTGAAAGCCTAAACACGTCTGGCAGATTAAAACAGCGAGGATAGGCGGACCAAAAATAATCGAAACAAAG